TTATCCAACATCTGATCCTCTTAATCGTAATCCTCTTAATGTAATGAGCTCACTGAAAATAAATCAGTCAAAATGATGAATGCAATTGCTCATCTACTCATTCTTAACTGGAAAAACAAGAGATGTGAGGCCTGTGTGTGTGGTCTTTATTAAATCCCGACATGTAACAACTTCATATTGTTAACGTTTCTATATTGTTAACATCTTTTACTATGCTCTAGCCAGACTCAAACCTGATACTGTCTGAATGAAGCTGCTGGCTCTTGTGTCCGGATGAATCGCAGATAGACATTTAGCTGTTGGTATTGTTAGTTTTGGAGTAAAAGTATCTTTAGCCAGTCGCTCTTGTTTCCACAGGTGGCTCTCTGTCTTGCAGGACAGAAAGAGACAGAACGAGAAAAATGGTGGGGGTTTGAAAGTAGAGAAAGCACGAGGGAAGAGGAAGATAAGGCTAGCATTTAGTTTTTGGCATGCACAGTCTCCGCTCCGTATTTACTCTGGTTTCGTTAGACCCGGCCATATGCCAAGCTTTAGAGCTGAAGTGAGCTTTGTGCATTCAGAGACTTCAAGTCCTACTATAGTAAACTTACATTTCCCCCCTTCTAATAGAGCATTCCAGGCTCTAAACACTAGTGTTTTCTTTGAGAGCTTCAGAAATTGGGTTCTGCTGCACGCCTCGACAACATTCATTGAATAGGCGGGGTGAATATCCTGTCAAAGTGTTATATTTAGGTTATGTGGTTGGAGGAATGGCTTTACTGTCCTCCTGATTTATAGGGCAACTTGTTAAAGTAACTAAATCTTTTGTATAAGTATTAAACTTTAGGGCCTGTTCACACTCAACACTATCTCTAATAATAATTCGTATGAAATTGTACAATCTTTTTAGTACATTTTAGTACTTTTTGCTCATCTCCCAATAGGGTTGGGCCGATAGACGATGCTAGCGCCCATCGCGAAAAACACACACTTAGGCCCCGTTTATTCTTATACATCTTAGTATTAAAATGCCTTTTTTAGAACAAAAATGATCCACATCCACACCGTGTTTTACCTAGCATTTCTGAACAGCCCTTCGTCCACTGAAAACGCACATCATGTGGCCACAAACACACAGCCACACATACTGTCATGCACTCCTCTGAGCACCAGTAAGCAGTGCACGTTGGACAGTTTATCAAGGATGTACCGCTGGATCGCGTCCCACTATAGTTGTTAAACGTGATATTTAATTCATCATGTCTCTATCTAACCACTCTTCGGTCTTTTGAATCTGTCTGGTAGCGTGTCACAGCTTCTTCTTTCGTAACTTTAGTGAAAACCTCAGATACTGATGGTTGTGCACCTTTTTTACAGACCAACCTCCTGCGGAAAAAGGGATTGACAGGTGGTAATTTTGTGTGCAACTTTATTTATTTATGATTTGTTTATGGGTAAAACAACGACCATGCGGGTCAGGTAGTTAAAACGTTAGACTACAAATAATAATCTCGTTATGAATTAATTAATTATTCATAAATAATTAATTCACCTCCACCTATGACGATAATGCCATTGTCCATCGCGACGTTTCACATTAGACATCATACGATGCCAAATTAGTTGACATTGCCCAACCCTATGTCCCAATGACGGTTGGGTTTAGGGGTGGAGTTTAGTGCAAAAATGTACATTTTCATACTGCTGAGCTCATATGAATTGGTTCAAATTTACCGCTAAACTGACATAATGTACAATAGTGACCTTTCCTAGGGCTGTCACACTAGGGGTAGGATTTCACACTTCATGATCTGATCTGATTCTTGAAGTCATAATTCAGTTCCAAAATGATTCTTGACCTACATTTTTCCTGTTTCTTTGGCTGTGCAAATACATCTTGTCATCTATGCATGACAGTTCTTATTCCAAACAAAGTCTCTTTAAGGCAAGTCATTTCACTTGGTGGCCATCTTTGAAACACCTCTCGGGCAGTATGCTCGGGCATTTTGTCTGAATGGAGAAACATCAAATTCTCTAAAACTGTTTGCCAAGCATACGATTACATTACAGATTTGGAATTACCAATAAAATTAAATAACAGCTGTAGCATAAGTTTTGTTTCTAAACATTCAAATCAAACTAAATCAGCATTTTCACAGGTTGCCTGAGATAATGCGCATGTGCACTCTAAAGAAACGAGATCACGACACCAACCCTTATTTATGGCTGTTGTACACACGATCATCCTCTAAATAGTGATTGTCAGATTACGCTGCTCCTCTAAAGTTTTCTTGATGGTGGATTTCCTCCAGAAATGACAGCGACTTTTTGTTTACAAGTTTGCGTGCGTTTGACTAGTTGCTGTCATGTGATGTTCATTTGACAGGACGGACTGTACCTTGTGATCATTTCATACAGATTACAAAACCAAAAAAGTTTTCTTTTCAAGTGTAGTGGGTTTATTTAAAAGTAAAGATTTCAAGCTCAATGTGGATATACTTCTTATGTCTGTGAAGCAAGTATTCGCTGATTTTTCAGCACGTTTGTTTACCACAAAAATTGTTGTAAAAGTACGCGTCGGATCCGAGCTTCTTCCCTGAAGAAACGTCAATCGATCTGCTTGTTAAGTCATGATGTATGGAATACTGTTTCCGGGTCCAAGCTGCTACTCATTTGAATTGAGAAAATATTTTTTCTCCTTTAGTCCTCTGGTCATCTGATATTAGGCATGGATATATGTATTGCGATCATGATTTTCGAAAGTAAAGCGGTTTGTAAAAGTTTATTATTGCCATTTGATGAGTCTCCCTATACAGTTGGAAAGAGGGCTTGGACCCAGAAGCTGCTTAGCGTGACGTCACACTTAACAAACGGATAGCGATCACTGATTGGCTACTGTACTAGTTGGCAGGGCTTCATTCGCCATATCAACCGTTACACTTTTCCCCATTCAAAACTATACGAGTGACGTCTTGTGAATACTAGAGTCTTTGTTCCAAAAAGAGCATTACATTTTTTTCTGAATTGATTTAGGATTACTAGAGAAATAATCACGATGCATTAATGAATCTATTTTTTTCTCCCACCTCAACAGTAAATACCAATGATACAGAAATAAAACGGAGGAATGATATTGTGGAATCTCCTTCAGAACTTTTTTTTTCCATCTGATGAATGAAAAGGTTCAGAATTGGCCTGTGTGAAACAGTTTGAGCATTTAAAGCAGCAGATGACAACAAACTCAAATTGTATGGATTATAGACCACCTAGTAATCACTCTTATCATCTCTTCTTCTTGGTGGCAACTTCAGCAAACTTGATGTGTTGATGTGAGTGAGAAGGTCAGTCAGAAGTAAAACAAACAGATGTTCAGGAGACGCTGACAGACATGCTGAGAGGAGATGGAAATATTCTCTGCTCTGTCTTTCTTTTGGTTTTCATCTATTCATCCCTCCTTTGCTTTTTATTTTTATCATATTTTTCTTTTTTCTTTTTTTGCTGTTGATGTCTTTCATTTGATTTGTTTTTCTTTTGATTCTTTTATTACATTTCTTTTGCTCTTTTTTTGTTTTTTTTGCTCCTTCGCTCTTTCATTTGATTTTATTAATTGTCCATCTTTTCACTCTTTTAACCTCCTTTTTTCTTTATTTTGCCCTCTTTTCTTGCTCTTTCGCTCTCTTTTTTGCTGTTTCATTCTGCTTTTTTCTTTCTTTTGTTATTTTTCTTTCTTTCTTTTTTCTTTTCTTTCTTTCTTTCTTTCTTTCTTTCTTTCTTTCTTTCTTTCTTGCCTTCTTTCTTTCTTTCTTTCCTTCCATCTTTCTTTCTTTCTTTCTTTCTTGCCATCTTTCTTTCTTTCTTTCTTTCTTTCTTTTTTTCTTTCTTTCTTACTTTCTTGCTTTCTTTCTTTCTTTCCACACAGTCTTCTTGATGTATTCTTTGTCCTGCCTTGAGCTAAAACACAAATAATCTCCCAGATGTAGACCTGACAGCTGTCAGTCAAATAAGCCCTGACCTCAACCCTCAGCTCTCGATCGTGCATTTATTAGATCAAACTTTACAAACAGAGCAATGCTAATGTGATTAATCCCAGTCAATTCCGGCCTGTGATGGCCAGATAAACCGGTCATTTTATGTCATGTTTGTTTTGACAAATTACTTTAGATTACAATTTATTTATTTATTTAATCTTTATCCCCGGATAGGGCTTGTTGAGTGACAGAAACAATTATTTATGAGTTTGCTTCTTGTCTTCTACAACCTAAGAACACAAAAATGACAAGAACAGGTCAACTTCAGCTGTCTCCCAATGAAAATAAGGTTTAAAAATCTGAAATAGTGTTAATATTTATACAAAAATTAGAATGATAGTATCTTTTAGTGTAATATAATGCACATTAGTAAGTGCATAAAAGAAAGGCAGGCTATCATATTGGAAAAGCCCAGCATGAAAGTATAATTTGTTTAATTTATTGCTAACTTCCTTTTGTTTTGGAAACGAGGTTTGCTTTTTTGGCGTCTCTCAGATTATGTTCCTGTCTTTCTCTGTACTGTAAGATAAGATTGGGGAAAAATTGAGACATAATTACATATTTGGTTGCCATGTTTTGTGCCTGCAATAACAAACCCTGTAATATTTCATAAGGTAAAATCGGTGGAGTGATTTTTATTGTGAAATGTGGCCAAGCTATTATGTTCTTGTCAAGTCAAGAAGTTATTGGATTTACTACATTTTTTAAGGTAAGTGGTTGCAAACAATTTATATATGCTGAATTTAAACAAACAAATTAAGTTGAAGATAACTCATTTTAATTTGTTCGTTTAAATTCAGCACATATAAACTTTTTGCAACCACTTACCTTAAAAAAATGTAGTAAATCCAATAAATAATTGTCAGTGTAATTATAGAAATGAATGAAATGAAATGTGCTCTCTTTCTATATATCTTTCTAATAGAAAAAATGTTGCAGCGATTAAATGTCTTGGCTGATTTCCCTGATGAATTGAATGTTGTGTTTCTGTAGATCTGAGGTCTACAGGTACAGCCCATTACTTCTCTTTCCTGCTCAACACATCTGACTATCGCATCTTGCGCATGGATGAGGATCACGACCGCATGTATGTGGGCAGCAAAGATTACATCCTGTCTCTGGATCTCCACGACATCAACCGAGAGCCACTCATAGTAAGAACTGACACACATTCATTTGTTACATTTTGTGCTTTATTATTCACTTTTATTGTCTTTTTAATAACTTGTTTATTATAAATATTTTTCATTTTGTATTTTACTTTATTCAATAATTTTTTATGTATTTAATTGTTTTGTTTAATTCTTAAATTCATAAATTTTTATTATTTAAAAATATAACTATAGTTAAATACTATATTATATACTATTTATTAATATTAATTTTATATTGAATTTTAATTTTTATTATAAATATTTAGATTTTATGTACTTTTGCATGTGATTTATTTTCATTATTATTATTATTATTATTATTATTATTATTAGTAGTAGTAGTAGTAGTAGTAGTAGGATTAAAAAATGTGTAAATTAAATAAATTAATAAATTAACCTTTAGCTCATTTTCTCTCCTTTAATTTTTACTCAACTATTATGTATTTTGCATTGTACATGCACATTGTTAAGTTTTATTTTATTTTATTTTATAGTATTGTTATTATTTTTTGATTGGTTTAATTGTATTTATTTTTTAATATAGTTGTATTATTAAAAATATTTTGTTATTAGTACATATAGTTATTAGTAATATATTGTTTTTAGTATTCAATACATTTTCACATTATATTGTAATAGATTTTTATTTTTTTTATTTTCTTGAGTTTGTAATATATATTGTTTTTATTAATATTTTTATTTTATGTACTTTGATATTTAATTTATTGTTGTTGTTATTATTATTATTATTATTATTATTATTATTATTATTATTAATATTATTATTATTATTATTACTATATTGTTGTTGTTGTTGTTGTTTTTTATTAAATTTTTATGTTATATTGTTAAATATTTAAAAAATGTGCTGTTTATTTTAATATGGTTATTGATCTTATATTTATTATTATCATTAATATTATTAACATTATTATTAACATTATTATTATTATTATTCATTTCATTTTTGTATTATATTATTATAGATTTTGATTTAATTTTTTTATTTAATTAAATTTTTTTATTGAGATTTTAATTTAATTTCACTATTGCCTTGAATTCTCAGACAAGCACAAACCATAACTTAATTCACAGCAGCCTCTGAGGGTAATTTCTGTACCACTGTTACCTGCACTTATTAACTCACAACTATTCAAGAAACGGACTGTTAAATTCAATAAAACGAAAGTACAGTCTGCATAAGGGGGAACCCAGGGGCCTTATAAAAATGCAGGGTGAACATTCTCCGGCTGCTTTGGCTCATTATGGTGAAGGGTTGCCGAGTTAAATGGGATGTTTTCTGAGATACTGTGTCATTGTTGTGACAAATGGGATTGACCTTTCTCTCTCTTTCAGATACACTGGCCTGTTTCCCCGCAGAGGAAGACTGAGTGTGTTTTAAGTGGCAAAGACACAAACGTGAGTATCGCTTCATAATTTACACTACCGGGACATAGTTTGGGATCAGTAGTTTTTTTTACATTTTTCTTTTTTAAGACTAAACTGCTCACAAAGGTTACATCTATAGATTAGAGTAAAAACATGAACAAAATTATGAACAACTATTACAATTTAAACCAGATTTTTTCTTGGTGAATGTAGTTTAAAATATAATTATATTAAAATATAAAGTTTAGTTTTTTTTTTTTTGCTGAAATTTCAGCATCATTACTGCAGTCTACAGTGTCACATGATCTTTAATAAATCATTCTAACATGTTGATCCACTGCTTAAGACACTTTTATTATTATTATTATTATTATTATTATTATTATTATTATTATTATTATTATTATTGTTATTATTATTATCATTATTATTATTTTATTATTATTATTATTATTATTATTATTATTATTATTATTATTATTATTATTATTATTGTTGTTATTATTAGTATTATTATTAGTATTATTATTAGTGTTAATAAAATCTATTTACTTTTATCCATTAAATTTTAAAGAAATTAAAAAAAGTAAAGATATTTTTTTTATTTGTTATGATCGTTATTAACAAATGAGTACCAATAACAGAACAGCAGTAAGTATGCTTTAAATGACAGATATACGTGTAAACTCACTGGCCACTTCATTAGGTACACCTTACTAGTAATGGGTTGGACCCCTTTTGCCTTAAGAACTGCTTTTATATTTTATGGCAGAGATTCAACAAGGTACTGGAAATATTGTTCAGAGATTTTTGCTTATATTAACATGATAACATCATCCAGTTGCTGTAGATTTGTCGGATGCACTTTGATTACGCGAATCTCCTCGTGCACTACATCCCAAAGGTGCTCTATTGGATTGAGATCTGGTGAATGTCGAGGCCATTTGAGTATAGTGAACTCACTGTCATTAAAAAGCAGTTGTACCTAATAAAGTGAGTGTAAATAAAAATTTTAACTACATTCAAGAAAATATATATATAGTTTTGACAGTATTTTTGATTAAATAAATAGTCTTGGTAATCAGAACAGGTTTTTTTAAAAAACATTTCTTTCTGATCCCAAAGTTTTGTCTGATTTGCAGACTATATTGTAAATAACAATAAACACATCCAATTTGGTTTAGACATCTAAACTCATCTCGATAACTAAAACCAGTTCTACATCTGCTTGTGGTTTAGATTTGAAGCTGTAAATGTCATTACAAATACACAACATATATAAACCCAGTCTACAACCCTCAAGTCCAGCAAAAAAATGTGTTGATATAAATGAAGTGACAGTGAGATATTCAGGTTCAGAAGTAGCGTTGAGGTCAAATATATGTGTTACAAACCTCAGCCTTCCTAGTGAGACACCATGCATGAAATCATATACATTCAGAGAAAAAAAACAGATGCACGAAACCGACTTGAGCTGGTCAGATTCCTCTTTTTGCAGACATATGGAACTGGGTGTGTGGTTTAGCGGTCTGTGCGCATCACTTGATCATCTGCACATCTGCAGTGTGCGTTTCACTGGAGGTGTTTGGTTGTGCAATGGTTTTGTACTTAGCGTCAGTTTAGGAGTGGGATGTAATGGGCTTTGACCACAGTGTATGAATTAATAATTATCTTGAATGCACTTGCTGTGAAAAGACTCTATAGGGGGACCTTTTTGGTTTCTGATTTGACTTTTTTTTTATTTGTAATGTTGCTGAAATAAATGCTGGTACAGATTAAATGTGTAAGTAATAATAAATGAGTATTTGGTTTGTTCCTTGATGTTTTTATTGTATTGTCAGTAGAGGTTATAAAGGTTCATATGGCGTATAGACAGTCTTTGAATTGCATCACAGTGGCAGTAAGGCAATTTCAACTCAAAAGCTATTTAAATTTTATTTTCTTTGTGTTACTAAGACTTGAGGCTTTATTTTAACAATCTAGACACAACGTCTAAAGCGCATGGCGCAAAAGCATTAAGGGTGTGTCCGAATCCACTTTTGCTTTTTATGGACAGAAAAATACGGTTTGCACCCTGACGCATGGTCTAACGGGGTTGAGCCTATTCTCTTGACGAGTTATGGGTAGACCCACACGGAATCTGCGCCCGCAGAATTCCGCAGATTTTCCACAGCCCATAATTAATTCTGTCCATTTACTCAAGTAAATGTGTGTAAATCTATATTGATTCAGTTTTTAAATTAATTACAGTAATATTATTTACTAATATGAAAATGTTCATCTGATTTATGTACAATGCCATTTGTACAGTAATATTTTTAAATATTTTATATGAGAGACTTGCTTTATTTACCAAATAAAGTGAATCTATTTGTATTTGCATTTTAAACAATAAATAAAAGTTACAAATATATTATTTTTTATTTCACATATTAAGGTTTTAGTTATGATGCTCCCAAAATAATTCCTCAGAAATCCAGAGATTTTTTACCAAAATTCTTAGCAGAAATAGCAAAAAACGTCCGCAGATTCCGTCTGGCCCTAGTTCTGGGTGTGTTAACACTGTAACATGTAAACCAATCAGAGTCTCACCTTCCATTACCTTTAAGTGTCAGTTGTGTGGCACCATGGTGCATTTACGTATTTATTTCACTGGCTTTTTACAGTGTTATTTAATGGCTCTTTTGTTCTCCCAAAAGTACATTTCTAATGTTTATGTCTGCTTAAAGCTTTCTTAGCATTTAGCATACAGAGCTAACTTACATTTTTGTTTCACAGGCTTTTTAATGTCGACCCTAATGGCTTTTTTGTTCAGTCAGTCACAGACATGTGTTAAAATAATACCCTGCTTGTTTCCTCTCCTAGGGCGAGTGTGGTAATTTCATCCGTCTGATCGAGCCATGGAACAGGACGCACTTATATATTTGTGGGACGGGCGCCTACAACCCCGTGTGCACTTATGTGAACAGAGGACGCAAGCCTATGGTAAATACTCTTTCAGATGCTGGGTTAACAGGAATCGAGAGGTGTGTCAAAAACAGGTACACCTGGATACCTGAGAGGCACAGGTGTTCCTACTGTATTTACAGATATGCCCTTTTTCCAGATTTCTCAACAAATCTATCCATTAGCCACTCTTACAGTCGATCAGCAGTGATTTCTCACTCACCGTCCCCCTGTCACCTCCTCCTCAGCCTGTAAAAAGCCTCCAGGTGTTGGCTGGCGTTCACCTTCACAGCTGCCTTCCCCAGCGCACTATAACTCTCTCTTCTGTTTAGTCCTATTCTTTAATTGAGGAGCTTAAGTTTCTCCGCTCAAGCCAGGCATCACTCTGTGGACCCTCTTTGCCTTTTTAAGCACCCTTGCTTTCAGTGGAGTAAATACAACTCTTGTTCTCTAATGATAGCCCTAAAGTGTAATTAGGAGAAGTTGGGATTCTATCAAACGAGTGAACAGATTGGTTCATTAGTAGGAATTCAACTCACTGACTCAGTGATTCTGTTGCAGTGGTTCAACATTCAATGAAGAGGAATGGACTGAATTGTAAATGTTGAAAATGATTATCAGTAATAAAGGATTTGTTATTCAATTATATCTTCAGCTATCTTTCTCAAATGAGCCGCTGCAACTGAATTGCTGAGTCCCTGAGTTGAATTAAAACCTTATGAACAAATCTGTTGATGAACAAATCAACTGATTCCCTGAAAATGAATCAACTTTATTCCCTGAAAAGAAATGTTAATTGTTTTTGAAGACTGGTACAAAGGCAGTGAAAAGTCATTCCATTTGATTCATTATATGAAATAAATTGTAGTAAATTGATTTAATGGTCAACTCACTCCAATCAGTTGCAGCAGTCAACAGCTTATATTAAGTTGAATTCCAACTTATGAACAAATCTGTTCACTTGTTTGAGAAAGAAGTCAACTGATTCACAAAGAAAGTTACATTTTGAACCCAGAACTACAAAGGTCATGAAATGTTGTTGATTCATTCCATTTGATTCAATATATGAAAACTATTGATTCAAAAGATTTGATTCTCGACTCAATAATTCAGTTATTCAGCTGCAGCAATCCTTCAAAGGGAAAGATTTTTGTAAGAAACTGATATATTTTCAAAATATATTATTCAAATTGACTTCTGCAAATTAATAAATGAGTATGTTTACATGGACACCAATAATCAGATTAAAATACGATTAAGACAATATTCTGTTTATGAGTCTACCATGTAAACAGCAATTTTTATTAGATTAATCCGATTAAGGTCAAACTAAACAGAAATTGGATTAAGACATGTCAACACCTCATGCCTAATTCAGACTGCATGATTTTAGCCCCGATTTTTATTCGCTGACAGGTTTTGAGTAAACGCTGACAAATGCCTGAAATCACAGGCAAATCGGTGCTTGATCACATGACTGACTATCACACAGTGTGAACTATCAATTGAGAATTGCCGATGAGTCGCCGATGCCCGTGAGATATTTGGCATGCTAAAGATCTGGAGCTGTCAGTGATTCAAATCATGCTGTGTGAAATGAGTTTTGACTTAAAATAACATTGGCGATTGCCTACATCCAATGTGAAAACAGCATTCACTCTTATGGATATCTGCAGGTCAGCGGGAGGTTGGGGGAGAAGTTATTTTCAGTTTATTTGGACCCAAGAAATGGTGGAGAAACTAGTGTAAATTTGGCAGGAGCACCCGTGTCTGTTTGACGTGTCATGTGAGCAATATTACAACCGGGTCAAAAAAGAAAAAAGTACAGGAGAAATTGCTAATTGCCTTCAATCCCAGGTGAGCAAATATGTACATTTTCTACCCCATTAAAGGCTTCTTTCCCATTATGTAGTTATTAACAAAAGATTTACTACGTATTTTTGAGATGTGAGATGTAGTTTGGACAAAGTTGTCGGCGATTCTTCCTATTCTGAAGTCATGCAATGTGAAACCCCCTGTTGACGATCCACCTTGCAGTGTAAACGAAGCAGCGACGAAACGCTAGCCCAGAAAGTCATGCAGTGTGAAAACATCTGTGACACGACTACTTTGAAAATCATGCAGTCTGAACTCGGCATAAATCAAATTATTACCGTTTGTTGAGGATTTTTGCTATGATTTGCGACAAGATATTTCACACACACATGGCTGTTTGACACTATTCTCTGCGACTATCGAGTCAGTAAAGGAACGCAGACACACACATCGCGAAATGCGGATTTTTTTTTTTTTTTTTTCATTCAGCGTGCGGTATCTAATTCAATTTCAATATCTTATTTGTCACAGGAGCATAAATGAAATGTTCCTGAATGAAAGTGAAAGTGCCAAACTGCACTTAAAGCTGAAACGTTGAAAATTAAACAATTGGAATTACATCAAACTCCAGAGAAAACGTGCATAGCGTGGTGACGCAACAATGTTAAGTGGTCTATGTGCTATAACATGTGAAATGGGATCATGAAAGGAACGTTCAAAAACGTTCATGTAAACCCCTTAATCATATTATTGTCTTAATCAGATCAAGGCAAACAATTCAATTACTGATGTCCATGTAAACATAGTCATTGATCTCCAACATAACAACAAATCTTTTCACTTATTTTTAAAAGGGTTTCGCTGGTTCACTGAAAAGAAAGCTCATGTTTTACTGCATACTGTAAATGCAGAGAAATAATTTGTTCAATTTGATTCATTAAGTTTATTTGTTTTGATTCTCAGCTGAGTGAATCAGTCAACTTCTCATTGCAGGAGAAGGCTATATTTTTAATCGCTGTCCACAATAATCACTCTGCTGAATGATTGTTCTCTCAAGGTGTTGACTGAATCCTTAATAGTAAATCACTCATCGTTTAGAATCACATGAGGTTGAGTAAACAATATCAGAATTATTCCTCTAATTTCCCAGTTTTTATTATAGAAGCTGTGTTATGCTATGGGAGCTCCCATTATAGCGTCTCGGTATGGTGCTGGAGGTCTACAGCCAATTATAATGAACCGCCTCGACTTTTCCCATGAATGAATTCTCACCTGGCACACATCGTTTCAATGCCCTCTGCGTGTGAATGTTGGTACAAGAGCTGAGGGGTGATTTCATCCCCTTAACACCCGGTCTTTCTAGACAGGAAAGCTGGGTCGCAGACTGCGTCCACAGTCCTCCAGCCAGGCAAACATCTCTACGTCTGTCCCAATGAGCACGACACACATCACGGCTAACATTAAACCAAAGACATCCAGATGTGGCCAGCTGCAGCAGGTCTTTGGCATGCGAGCTGAGCTGTACCCAAGACATTATACTGAAAGAAACACATGTGGCTGACGTACTGACTCAAAATGTTGATTCTTGGGGTTTTCCGAGAGCCAGCTGTGCAACCCATCATGGTCAATACCGTCCAGCAGCAGCACGCTATGATAACACCGCTGACTCAAACACATGATACCGCAATCCCTGATGAGTATTGATTTACACTTCAAGAAATTTGTAATGCCTAATATCTTTCACACGCTAACTAGCTTCAACTATCTAGTGAGAAATCTTGATATTCATGCTGGAAAACGATGTAGAGCAAACAATGATGGTTTTTTGATGGTTTTAGACACTTTTCATCTGTCTGACTGTAGACCAGACTTTGAGACTAGCTAGATTCACCTATATTTGGGGCACGGTGGCACAGTGGTTAGCCCTGTCGCCTCACAGTAAGAAGGTCGCTGGTTCGAGTCCGGGCTGGGCCAGTTGGCATTTCTGTGTGGAGTTTGCATGTTCTCCTCGTGTTTTTGTGGGTTTCCTCCCGGTGCTCCAGATTCCCCCACAGTCCAAAAACATGCAGTATAGGTGAATTGGATGAACAAAATTGGCCATAGTGTATGAGTGAATGTGAGAGTGTATGGGTGTTTCCCAGTACTGGGTTGCAGCTAGAAGGGCATTCGCTGTGTGAAACATATGCCGGAATAGTTGGCGGTTTATTCCGCTGTGGCGACCCCTGATGAATGAAGTGACTTAGCTGAAGGAAAATGAATGAATGAATACATTATTACAAGTGATAAAATCTCTCTGTAAAGACTTATTAGTTAAGGTCACTTAATATAAAGGGGGACCAAAAATTGTGTTGAATTGTCTTATTTTTAACTGGATATATTTGGGTATGCATTTTCTATTTATCTTTTAATTTCATTAATTTTTTGCAACTTGCTAGTTTTTTTTATTTATTTATTATTATTTATTTTATTTTTTTTTTTAAACCAAAATTGCAGCTCACTAAGTTTTGAAGATCATCTCAGTGCTTGGCTGAGCTCCTGTTCTCTTTCTTTATGGAGAGCTGAAAGGAGGAAAGTGCTTTGGTTAGTGGGTTCCATCATCCATCATGATACTGTGCTCTGTTTTAGACGGCCATGCATCTGCAGATGCCCCAGACCAGAGGCAGAGCTAGTCGTGCAGCTGAGCCTGAAACAGTGTTTGATGAGACAGGACTGCAGGTGGGACACGGATCTGAACAGCCGTCGACTTATCAGCCATCTACAGATGCATTAACCTGCATGCTCTCTGTTCCTCCGTGTCTGTCCTGTTCCTCCTCATCTGTGTCTGCCGTTGATTTCACTAACTCCGTGTCTTGTCTTTCTAACACGTTTTCTCTCAAAGTTTGTTCTGTGGCTTTAAAACCTTCACTTTCTTTTAGTTAAAGTAAATGTCTTCACATTTCTTTCTGATCTGTTTGATTTCTGTTCTTGAATCTTTCTTTGTTTGTAGTTTTTATACACAAACAAACTTATGTTTTCTGTAGTTCTGGTACAGTTGCAAGTTTTCTTTTTTCTTTTCATGAATAACAATTGTTTGGTCGCCCGCCTCGGCATTTATGGCCTTAGAGATAAAGTGAATGCCAAACACACACTTTCAGGCCAAGCAGAGCAAACACAAGTTGGCTGTACCAAATACAAAGACGCAAAGGAAATAATAGAGCTACACAGCTAGACATTACTCAAATATTTCAGCCGTCCTACATTTCACATCAGAGGATGAAGCCTTCGACCTGCTTATGACCTGAGCTTTTCAAACGCACACACTTTAGTGGGATACATACAGTTTGAGCACCAAAATGTCAATCTTAACATTAAAACAAATCACTTTGGCTTATTAAACAGTTTTATTGTTGAGTTGAATAAAAACTGTTTTATTGATCTTAAATCAGCACTGCAGAACTGTCCCAGATAAAGTTTTAATTATTTGTAACATTTATTATCACTTGAACACAGTCGACATAGTTTTTTGTTTTGTTTTGTTTTTTGTGTTGTGTTTTGTTTTGTTTTGTTTTGTGTTTTTTTTTTTTTTTTTTTGCTGTTTGCTTTTTGTGTGTTGTTTCCTGTTTTGGTTCGGTTTGGTGTTTGTTTTTTGTTGTTTTGTTTTAGTTTGGTTTGTTTTTGTGTGTTTTTTTTGTGTGTGTTTTTTGTTTTTTTTGTTTTGATTTGATTTGGCTTGTTTCAGGTTTGTGTTTGTTTTTTGTGTTTTGTTTTGTTTTGGCTTGTTTTGGTATGGTGTTTGTGTTTTGTTTTGTTTTTTGTTGGTTTGTTTTGTTTTTTTGTGTTTTGTGTTGTTTTGTTTTTTATTTTGGTTTGGTTTGGCTTGTTTTGGTTTGGTGTTTTTTTTTTTTTTTTTTTTTCATGATGCACACAATGTAAAATAAACCTAAGTTTAAATTTGACGTATATTAGTAGTTATAATCAAATAATTGTTGTATTTTAAAACTATTGTATTAAATATGGGTATAGTAAACACACACACACACACACACACACACACACACACACACACACACACACACACACACAAGCACACTGTTCTAATTCCCATATTAATTAATAATAACAAACTATTCTAAATTATAATAATATATGTATTCATTTAAATAATAAAAAACACTCATGGGGCATAAAATGTCAAATTAACATGAAGAATTAGCAAAATTGGTCACATTTTACTAAAATGAACTAAGAATGAATACTTGTAGTGTTTATGAATCATAATTCAGTGTTTACTAATGCATTATTAAAATCCAAATTCATGCATGTTGACATTGTTAATGCACTGTGAGTTAACACGAACCTATAATGAACAACTTTATTTCTATTAACTTATGGTAACGAAGAGGAATAAATACTGTAGTGGATGTGTAGTGGATAATGCAGCCTTATTGTAATGTGTTACTGCGAAATGTATTTGTTAATATTATAATGTAAATTTAATTGCATTTTATATTTTAGAAATTGTATTAACACTAATGTATATAATAAATAAATAAATAAATAAATATATATATATATATATATATATATATATATATATATATATATATATATATATATATATATATATATATCAATATGCACATGAGCAATAAATGTTTATTTAGATAATAATTTCAAAATTAAGCAGTTTTCAGTGTAATAATAAAATGTAATGTACATTTAATTTCATTTTATATTTTAGAAAATATATTAACACATTTATATACATATTGACATGTATGGAGTTGAACATTTATGTAAATATATAATGTATGTATATTTATAAATGCATTGGGGAAAAGTTTTTTTTTTTAAATCATAAAAAATATAATTATAAATAATAATAAATGAATAAATAAATATACAAATACATATGCGACATTTATAAGCACCTTTTCTTTTAAAATAATCATCTAATAATCAGATAATTATCACAAAATTAAGCAGTTTTTTTTTCGCACAAAAATAGATTTAGAAAGAATTTCATTGGCCCATTTTAGCTCAGTCAAACAAGAGTGTCTGTAACAAATGTTGGATTTTCTAATTTAAGGCGGTTCAACCCCCGCAGGATCTGCCAGCGCTGGCTGTTTCTGCGCTGTTGATTTTAATAACAGGTGAAAGGGAATCTGTTAATGCTGGACAGCTCTGCATATTTTGACAGCCTTTCCGCTCTCCTCCAAATGAATGTTGATAGATGAGATTAGCAGTGTCTTCCACTCGTCCGTCTCCTGCTGCGACTGTAGAGGAAACTCTGGGTTTAAAAACGCTACGGCTGCGGCTCATGGCGAGTCTGCAGGGCATGTCAGCGCACGCTCATGGCAATTCCTAAATCGCACATGCAAAATACCTGTCAGTCAGTGTTTCCACATCGTGCCTGAGGGATGCTGGGACGGGGCCGGTGTCAGTAAACCATTCTGCCATGCTCACAATGCAGGATTAGACACGTGTTCGCATCAAGGTTATTTAGTAAACTAAAACTATTTGTCAAACTTTTTTGTTAACGTTAATTAAAAAAAAAAATCACAACAAATGGAAAAAGTAAATGAAACGAATTAATCACTGAAAAACTGAAACTGAAATAAATTATTAGCAAAAATAAATAATCTGTAGCTGTATAAAAAAGTAACTGTAGATGCAGCCAAACACATCAGTCAAGCCTGATAATACACAAAAACATTCTATATAAACATAACATCTCTAACTTTTCTTCATTTGCAAAAAAAATTAAACTAGATAGGCATCTCTGCGGGTTTTGCATATCTTTAATATAAAGAATATTGTCTGTGTTCGTCTTTATTTTGATTTTTTTTACTTGTTGTGTTGAGATTTTGAGTCTGTTCAAGCAATTATTTTATTTGTATTACTAAGAGGTTTCTACAAGAATTAATGTAAGCTGTGTAAACACAAAAATAATGCCCTGGTTTGGACTGGACATGTCCTGTTAACTCTGTTAAACTAGAATTGACTAAAACTATAAGGATGTAACGATTCACCTGAGTCATGATGCAATACGACTCATGATACTAATCTCACCAAATTAAGATTTTAAAATTATTTTTTTTTTAGCAAAATTATTTGAGACAAAATTAAGGTAAACAAGAGACCTTTTTTTTCTCAAATGCTGCACAATTTTTTTTCCTGCAAGATAATTCATTGGCTGCACTTTTCTAAAAGCAAATTGTCAAGAATATTCCTAGTAATTGACTCAACATGTTCTAGGTGCCGCAGAGATGAGGCCACCTTGGGCCACATATTCTGGACGTGTCCATCCTTAAAATCATTTTGGTCTGCAGTGTTTGAGACTATTTGAGGCCTAACTAGGTTAATTAGGTTATCTAGGTTAGGGTAATTAGGCAAGTTATTGTATAATGATGGTTTGTTCTGTAGATTATCGAAAAAAATAGCCTAAAGGGGCTAATAATTTTGACCTTAAAATAGTGTTTAAAAAATTTAAAACAGCTTTTATTCTAGCCAAAATAAAACAAGCAAGACTTACTTAATAAAAAGACTTGTCTACTACTAATATCGTTTCTGCAATAACTCAATTGCAATTTTTAAAAAATTCAAAAAAAGTAAATAATTCAAATTAAATTAAGACTCTTTAATATAAACAAACTAACATTTTGTGCAGCTAAATTACAAATTTAAAATGAGTTCCAAACCAAAAATTAACAATACAAATTACAGAAGGCTCTTTCATACAAACAAACTAAAACTGTGACTGTGTTAGGATTTGACATATTTAAAAAAAAGAAATATCAGCATATCTTTGTTTTCTGGCATAAGCTAAGGTTTTTACACATTTACAATGTCCCCTGCTGATGAAAAAAACTCTTTCACTGGGGACTGAGATGAAGAAAGACTTTCCTAAACCAGAGAGCAGTGTGTACAAAGGTGGTCAATAGCCAAAATACTAATTTTAGTGATGATATAATAAGCAAATTACTAAAAGCTGCATAGACTAAACTGAAAAAGAGAGAAAAGGGGAACAATCTAATACCTGGATCTGCAACAGAACAACTTTCTTTTTCAGTCTGAAAAACATCTTCACATTTTCACTAGGAAAACACTGATGCACCATGTGATCTCTATAACGTTAGCACTCGTTGGATCACGATTCGTTCAACATTTCTATCGATTTGAATCATCACATATTTGAATGGATTTTCAGCAGGCTAACGGTGAATCGTTACATCCCTAACTAAAACTAAAACTAAATGTATAAAAACTAAATAGGAGTTCATTAGTTTAAAACTAATAATAATAAAGCCATTAATAAAATAAACCAAAACTAGACTAAAATCTACAGCAAATTCTATAAACATTATCGAATTAAAAAGTCTTCTAAAAAGCCAAAACCTTGGTTGGCATATGGACTATTAGTTTGGATATATGTTCATTTTTATCTGCTGTTTTTCACGTTTATGTTGTGCATCATCTTTTCCCTCATGCCTAACCTTGATGTCTTGACTTACTATACTAAATATATGTCATGTTTTTTAGGGATTTCAGGATGTTTACAGAGTCTACAAAGCATTTCTATAGAATCAGAATTATTGAATGTACTGTAAAACAGAGAAGCTGAATCTTTCCTTTCAATGTCTCTTTCAGGAATACGTGTTCCATTTGGAGCCCGGCAAGGAAGATTCTGGGAAGGGAAAGTGCCCGTATGATCCAAAACTGAACAGCGTCTCTGCTTTGATTAGTAAGTCCTTCAAGCACTTTGTCAAAAATGTTTAAAGAATGTACATTTCCACTTGAGTGCTTTGGGTATTTAACATTCAGTGCTCTACAGTGTTTTTGTGCGAGTCAACATATTGAAATAAAAGTCTCTAACTTCACATGGTTTACATGGACTTTAATGGACATTCATGCTTCCCAGGTAAACCTGTAACATCCATGGAAACTTTTTATTTTTATTTATTTATTTATTTTTATTAGTTAATTTAGTCACACATTAAAAAAACAGTTCTGTTATAAACTGTTTAGGTTGATTGTGGGCCCAAAAATCACTTTTGAATCACTTTCTTTTACTGTCCCAAAAACATGCAGTGTTCATTTATACAAGTATAAGATTTATGAGATGGTACATTTCTTTCCTGATTGACAGTTAAATGGAGAAATCGTGGCGTTATTGGTTGTGGATTTTATTGGAAAAGTGCAAAGCGTGATTTCTGAGTAACTCTTAATGGAGATCTCAGATGGCAGTGAAAGTGTTTATACTGAAGCATGCGAGTCAGCGAAGTGTTTTAACAAGCCCTCTAACCATGCTTCTCACAGCGACTCTTCATGCACTACCAAACTCTACGCTTTATAGATCACTGGAAATGGGTCATTTCCTAATAGTGCTTGAGGGGAAAAAGCTTTTTAATTTTAGAGAGTTTAACTATGTTCCTTGTTCACAGAGAAGCTGTATGGTGTTGTGGAAAAATGGCTTTGTTTTATTAGGCTCATTTAAGTTGCCCTAGGTCACAGAAATGCTGTTCATAGAAATAGGACAGTATGATTGGTCAAAAATCTAAATTATGATTGTGATATTCACTGTTAAAAAATATCTACTACTTTGCCTAATTTGATTTAGGGCTGTTGGCCGAAGTTGAATATCCCAAATTGTATTACATTAAATTTGCCATGGGTAATTTCCTAATTTATTTGCTAAGATTTAAAAATAACTTGAAAACTTTGCTTTTAAACATATTAATTAAAGATGCCTCATTGCTTTTGACTTTTTATAATAAACCTATACTAAAAACATAAACAAATCCATTTATAACACAATGGAGTTCAATGCTGAATACACTAGTTGAGCTGCTCCTGCTTTTGCCTTAATTTGCTCACTGATGTCTTGTGCATTGTCCTCTATCTGTTAAGTGACAGAATTTACATTTTAAAAGACTGATTCATTCACAGTATTTAAATGAAACATTTAATTCTAGTTGGCTTTTTGTACACTCTTAGAAATAAAGGTAAGCAAGCTGTCACTGGGGGGGTACCTTTTCAAAAGGTACAAATTTGTACTTAAAAGGTCCATATTAGTACCTCAAGGATACATATTAGTACCTAAAAAGTGCAAAAGTGTTCCTCTTAAATTTTAGGTACTAATATATATGTATATATATATATATATATATATATATATATATATATATATATATATATATATATATATATATATATATATTTATATATACACATATATATATTTTAAGGTACCAATATGTACCCTTTAAGTACAAACGTGTGCCTATTTAAAAGGTACCACCCAGTGACAGCCCACGTACCTTTATTTCTGAGTGTAGCTCCTCAGTTAAACAAACAAACAAAAGGTCATGTTAAATTCAAAATGATGATCTCTCTCAAAAGCATTTGCCCCAACCAACTCCCCATCATTCTACCTCTCTTTTCAGATGGGATGGCGGGCCAAACCAAAGGTTACACTCTTAGAAATTAAGGTACGGGGTCTGTCACTGGGGTGGTACAAACTTGTTCATAAAAGGTCTATATTAATATCTCAAAAAGTACAAAAGTGTTCCTTTTGAAACTTTTAGGTACTAATATGCTTTTTAGGGACCAATATGGAACCTTCAAGTACAAATGTGTACCATTTGAAAAGGTATCGTTACAGTGACAGCTTGTGTAACTTTATATCTGAGAGTGTACCATAGGCCATCTGGCCCACAGGCCCTACTTTGGGCACCTCTGTCCTGTAATATTCTTTTCTTGTGGAGAAAGTCTTGCATCTTTTAGTTTGGATGGAATAAAAGCAGGTTTCTTTTTTTTATGATTTTTAAGGTCAATAGCCCCCTTTAAATATATTCATCTTTTTGATTGACTACAGAACACACCACTGACCATTGTCAAATGACTCACTTAGTTAATCTAATTTGCATAGTTAACCTAATAAGCCTTTTAATTTTGCACTTTAAACTGAATACTAGTATCTTGCACAAAATCTGATATTTCATAATATCTGCAAATATTATGTATCATCATCATGGCAAAGACAAAACAATTTAGGGACTTGGGAAATATTTGAAAAGTAATAAATTTTACAGAAGGGCTAATCATTTTGCTTTCAATTGTGTGTGTTTTATTGCACACTACATGCATCTGTGTATTTGAAAAACATATTTGAAAGAATATTTTCCTTTTACGATGTTAGATTGTGTATTACTAGTCTTTTCTTATAATATTGTTGATGAGTTAATGGGTCATATATTAGCTTTTCCCTGACTAAACCATCCTCAAAGTAGCGCGTCATCAGCCGAGACCAAACAACAGCACAAAGCTCCAATTTAGCAGGACTTACACAGCAGGTAATTCAGCAAAACCCTTGACTAGGAAAACAACTGGCTAAACCATATTATCAGCACAGCTTAGCAAAGCCCACAACTAGCAAAACCACTTAGCTAAGCCGGTAAAAACAATTTATCACAGGCTTACAACGAAGTACGACCTCAAAAACCACAAACAAACATACCAAGGAAGCTTTCGCAAACATTTTGGGCTGCCAGACCTCAAAAGAACGCTTTACTGCCTTCCTGCCTGGTCATATTTAAATACCACCTCGTATATTATAGATGTTTGGTTAAATTTACAAGGCCTTCTGACAGGCTGGCACCTAGACTTCCTTTAAAAATCAACAGTTTTGATACACCATTAGGAAAAAAGTGCCGGCGGGCTGAGCAAATAGACTGTCAACAAGCTCATTCTGCATCTAGCACATTACTTTTACAAACCCTTCTCACTGAATGTGTATCTGGCGGGGTACATAGAAGCAAGTGTGGGCAGAAACGGGCACGTCCAGAGCTCTGGATTCCTCAGATAGAGCATTAATCATGAGCACCATGGTTCTGCCAACTCTAATGCGAAGACACCTGCTCAAATGGCCTGCAACTGGCTTCTATACACACACACACGCAGACGCACACACACACACACACTTGACCTCCACAATACTTAACAAGGACCAAATACCTTCAGAGGCTATAATAACCCTCACATGCAGAGGCGTAATGATCGGCACATGTGAGAGCCAGTGGCCATCAGTCTTGTCCAGTGAGTCTAATGGAAGCTGGCAGTTGCTGTCAAGCCAAGATTTATATCACTGTTCAGTGTTTGTGTGTTTTATTGTTCCAACACACATAACTGTGGTGTATGTTAACATTTATTATATACTTTTTGTCACATTATTTCGTAAATATTGTTTAATAATAATAAATACATATTTGTACTATTATTATTTTTATTACAGTTATCTTTATAATAATAATAATAATAATAACTATTTTTGCTTTAATTACTATGGTTGTTGTTATAATTACCAGTATCTTTATTATTATTGTTATTATTATTATTATTTACAACTATGATTACTAATAAGAATAATAGCAACGTCAAGCCATAAAATGATAAAAAATAGTTTTTTGGTGGTATTATTGTACTACTACAACTATTAATATTATTATACAAAATAATTGAATTATTAGAAAAGTGTTGCTGTAAATTGAATAGCTGCTCAGTAGATGCTCTTTATCTCTGTCCTAATGGATCATCTGGCACTGATGTTGAAAGAACAATGTCATATTTTGGCTGTGACTGATATTTCATCATAGACCGCAAAATCTAATAAATCATTTGCACACTCTTTCTGTGTTTCTCAGATGGAGAACTGTATGCAGGGGTGTATATTGACTTCATGGGAACAGACTCTGCTATTTTCCGCACTTTGGGGAAAAACGCAGTCATGCGTACCGACCAATACAACTCAAGATGGCTGAATGGTAAATTTTATTTTCCTTTTTAGTTTACTTTATTTTTTTTCCATTTTTTTCCCCAATAATTCCATTATTTTGTTTAAATTTATTTTCACTTTATTTTAATGTATTTATTTTATTTTATTTTCATTTATTTTATTTTCATTTTATTTCATTTATTTTTATTTATTATTATTTTATTTATATTTCTTTTATATTTTCATATCTTATTTTTATTTTCATTAATTTATTCATATTTTATTTTCCTTTCTTCATTTTATTTCATTTATTTTATTTTATTTTATTTTCATTAATTTAATTTAAATTAATTTTCATTAATTTTATTTTATTTTCACTTTATTTAATATTTATTTTAAATTTTGTTTTTATTTTCATGTATTTTATTTTATTTCCATTTATTTTATCATTTTATTTTTTAATCAACAGTTTGGATTTTTGCAGGTCTTTTAAATGGTTCTTTTTTGCACACAATTTCTCAGCAGGAAACTGCAGGTGAATAGTGTAAATACTTCCCCTGATGCAATTACGCCAATCTATTGTACTACACGTTTTATAAAATTTTGTCTTTTAAATATGCATATAAGGCATTTTTATTAAATATGCAATAATTTGCATATGTTTTTTTAGCACAAAGTCTAGTTTAAAGTTATTTTCTTTTATTTGAAATATTATAGAGTCAAGGGGTTTTATATAGGAGGTTTTATATAGGGGGTTTTCTTTTTTCAATAGTTTGTTAATTCCATAATAACTTTTTGCAGACTGAAATGTTATGTATATAATTTGATAGATTATGCACAAACGTATCCCTCAGTAAAAACCTTTAGAAAACAGATATAAATAAAACTGTGAGAATTGGTTGAGATATAGCGTTTAAAAATATGTATTGTAATTGAAATCTGCATGCATAAATTGATAAAGAACAGAACAATAATTGTATGTATTTTGGATCTGACAAAAACAAAAAAAAACACTTTAGGAATATTCAAAATTTCAAAATTAGTCACATGATAAAACAAGATGTTTCTCCCTGCATTGTCTTGCCCTAATATGAAAAGTGTGATTATAAATTGTCCAAAATGTAAACTATCATTTCGCATTCTTTTCCTCTGTCTGTCTTTCTTAGACCCATCATTTGTCCATGTGCACCTCATTCCTGACAGCGGTGAGAAAAACGATGACAAACTCTACTTTTTCTTTCGTGAAAAGTCTTCTGAAATGGGCCAGAGCCCGAAATCACAATCCCGCATCGGCCGCATCTGCCTGGTGAGCTCAAACTCTTAAATATAAATCGATGAATACGACCCAAAGTTTGAGACATTCCGTCCCGTTCAGCATCTCTGAAAGAGATTTCAACTCCAGCACAGAGCGAGAGTCCTGGTTTGTGGATATTTGACTGTGGCGTTTCTGTTTGCTTGCCGCTGACGTGCCGAAATCCACACATATTTGCCCTCGCTGCTTACAATACGTCTCTCTATCCGTGCGACCCTTGACCCTGTGACCCTTGACCTGTCAGGTCAGCCGATTTGAGTATGACAGAAAGTCTTCGGCAGAACTGTGCTGTGGAAAAGATCCCTAATTCAGCCATTTGTCCCAAGTGTGGAGCTGAAGCACACGTTCTTAATGAAAATAGTGCCAGACCACAACTGCAAATTGAGCAGGGCAGAGAAAACAAACACAGAGCCACAGGGGGAAACTCAGGGGGTTGTGGTGCATCATCTTGGGCTTAATGTGAACTTAAGGGTATGATCTTGTTTAACTGTACTTGGGAGGGATGAATTCCAAAAGGCTTCACATAAAGAAAGCTGAACTAGACCAAAGAAATGGTGTTCATTTAAGCATTTTGTGAGTTATATATTGAGTATAGAGGAGGGTCAGCTTTTTCAGTAGTTTGTGTAATATATATGCATAATTAGTAAATTAATTTCTTATATTTATAATACAATGGAATACAACACAATACAAACTCTATTGTCAGATATATATTAGATTTTTTCTTGTATAACAGCAGGTTACAAACTCATTACAAATAGATAAAACATGATCAAACTCAGTGTTTTTTTTGGATATTGATTGAATTCTGACATACTGTAACCTGTGATGGGCTATTTTAGGAAATGATCTTTTGAGACGACCTGTATTTGATGAAAAACAGTGAAATTTGCAAAACGGGCACACATTTGCATCTCTTTGTGACTCCTTTTAAGCCGGTTAAATTTATTTTTATAGTAGCTTGTTGTGGGGCAACGCAGTAGGTAGTGCTGTTGCCTCACAGCAAGAAGGTCGCTGGGTCGTTGGTTTCTGTGTGGAGTTTGCATGTCCTCCGGGTGCTCCGGTTTCCCCCACAGTCCAAAGACATGCGGTACAGGTGATTTGGGTAGGCTAAATTGTCCATAGTGTATGAGTGTATATGTGTGAATGAGTGTGTGTGGATGTTTCCCAGAGATGGGTTGCAACTGGAAGGGCATCCGCTGCGTAAAAATGTGCTGGATAAGTTGGCGGTTCATTCCGCTGTGGCGACCCCGAAATAATAAAGGGACTAAGTCGACAAGAAAATGAATGAATGAATGAATGAGTAGCTTGTTGTTTTTGTTGTTGTTTTTATTATTATTATTATTTAAGATCAGTGCAAACTATTTTCCTATTTTTTTAAGATATGATAAAGTTTAGCCACATAACACAAAGGTGCACTTGTGGTGGTATTGCAAATAATAGCAGTCGATTTAAGTCCAATATTTAACGATCCATTCATAAACTGTCATTTGCTTTGTTTACATTAGTACATTACTAAAATTGTCAAAATATTTTCACAATTTAAAATAACTCTTTACTATGTTTATATATTTTAAAATGTTGTAGTGATACAAATCTACATTTTTTTAACATCATTACATCATTAATTCAATACTTCAGTGTGTCAATTTGCTACTGAAACCAAACTGTTAAAACATACAGTATACTTTTGCAATGACCTGTTTTTAATGTCACCAAGCAAGAATTTTTGTTTGGAAAGACTTTAGAGGAAACATTTTTAAATGTGAATCCTTCAAAACAAAAACTGACATAACGTGCGTTAACTTAAAAAAATAATAAATTCTTATGCGTTATTTATTGCTGATTATGTCTTTTTATTCTTAGAATTTTTTATAGAAAACTGATATTTATAAAATTATGATATGGAGGCCATGATGGACAGAGTCTAGTAGGCAAATTTGGCCTGGATGGCGGGGTCAAACCCCTACTCTTTTTCGAAGGACAATGTGGGTTTTTAACGACCACAGAGTCAGGACCTTGGTTTAACATCTCATCTGAAATTATTCTGTTTAATTTAGTGTAAACCGTGTTCAATTGTATATATATATATCTTTTTTTTCCCAAAGTTAACATTCTTTGATAATTTAAAGTTCAAAAGCACTCAATGTTTTAGAAAAAGTTTATTTTCTAACATTTTAAGTGTCTTTACTTTTACATTTTTATCAGTTTTATGTAGCACTCTTGCTAAATTAAATTAAATCATTACTTTTACACAAAGTTAATAAAAACTTATAAGGTTTTGAAAAGGTGGCTCAGAGGTTAGCACTGTCGCCTCACAACAAGAAGATTGCTGGTTAGAGTCTCAGATGAGTCAGTCGGCATTTCTGTGTGGAGTTTGCATGTTCTCCCCGTGTTCACATGGGTTTCCTCTGGTTGCTCCGGTTTCCCCCACAATCCAAAGACATGCTCTATAGGTGAATTGGAAGAACTAAATTGCCTGAAGTGTACGAGTGTATATGCGAGTGAGAGATTGTATGGGTGTTCGCGGTAATGGGTTGTGGCTGGAAGGGCATCCGCTGTGTAAAACATATGCTGGAACAGTTGATGGTTCATTTTGCTTTGGCGACCCCTAATAAATAAGAGACTAAGATGAAGGAAAATGAATGAATGAATGAATGAATGAATGAATGCACAACTTTTTGTGCATGTCTTTTGTGATTGACTTTTGAAACTTGCATGTGTCCACTGAGAGGTTTCATATGTGGGACCACATAGTGGTATATGACATTGCATGAGTATGTGTGTGTGTGTGCGTGAGTGTCTGTGTGTGTGTGCGCGTGTGCGCGTGTGCGTGTGGGTGGTGAGTTTGTGTGTTTATCCGCTTTCTGTTTTGTGTTTACATGCATGTTTACAAGAGTGCGTGGTCTCTGTCGTGCAGCCCCCCCAGGTCTTTGTTTATGAGTCGGGGTCATGTGTTGACCTCTCATGCAAACACACCCCTGCGCTCTGGGCTTTATAGATCACCCTCCAGAGGACCAGCCATTCTGTTTCTCACATCTGCACCCATCTGGTCACCATCCACCCTCACACTGAGATCTGGAGCGGCTATTAATAACAACAAGAGATCATGCAATCAAAGATGACATGCAGAGAGCCCCAGGAATAATCATTCATAGAGTTTTGTTGAAAAGTCAACTTGCAGAATCTGTTCAATAGATAGTTCAACAAAGTTTTAATTAATTATTTATTTATTTTTTTGATTATGAAAGTATTTGTTATTTACGAATTAAATGGTAGTGCAAATCTGAGACAGCAGCACACTGTCTTAATTTATTCAAATGGAAAAAAAGAACCAATCATGTAGAATGGATCATTGAGTAATTAATAAAACTGATTGCATTTATAGATTACATACCAGGTAATATGAGAAGATTTATTAAACAATTTTACTGCTGGAACATTTACATATAATAAATTAAATGCATTTATATTCATAGGAGGATCAAAGCAAAAAAAAATAATTATTGACAATATTAAGTGGAATTAATAAGGTTACAAAAATATTCTTTTTTTTTAATGTTTGGTAAGATTTTATTTTGATGGTCTATTTGAGTATTAGTAGACTATCTGCTTAATATCTGTTGATACTTCTCCTTCAACAGACATTTAACTGACTCTAAGAAACCTTGCAAGTACATGTCAACTTACACTAACCGAATCCCAACCTAAGAGTCTACTTATAATCGAATGAGAAATAAATGCAATGTAAGTTTAATTCAACAAACAGACCATCAAAATAAAGTGTGACCACAAAAAGTTCTTTTAATGATTATTTATTCTCAGTCTGTACGCTTGGCTTTTTTCTGCAGGATATTCGTACAAGTTAAATCAGAGTGAGAATTGAAAAAACTCTGAAATGACTGTAAAGGGTATTATTTTGAGGTATCATTATAAGAAACATAGACACATCCCCTGTATGATGTTCAAAATGTAGGTATGGTTTTTATGTTTTCAACTCAAAAAAATAACTAAAAAGCAGCATTAAAAAATAAAATAGTAGATGACATCAAAATTGGGTAAAATCTTCTTTATTAATTTGTGAAACTTTAACACATAGTAAGGAAAACAAAAAAGGAGGGTATAAAAAAATAACAATAATAGAAAAAAAAAAAATATATATATATATATATATATATATATATATATATATATATATATATATATATATATATATATATATATATATATATATATATAATTTTTTTTTATGTTTAGATTTTAAACATTATTAACGAATAATATACTAATGTTTAGATGGGTCAGTTGGCATTTCTGTGTGGAGTTTGCATGTTCCGTATTGGCATTGGGTTTCCTCCGGGTGCTCTGGTTTTCCCCACAAATACAAAGACATGCATGCACTATAGATGAATTGGGTAAGCTAAATTGTCCACAGTTTATGTGTGTGAATGAAAGTGTATGAATGTTTCCCAGTGATGGGTTGCAGCTGGAAGGGCATTCCCTGTTTAAAACGTGCTGGATAAGTTGGTGGTTCATTCTGCTGTGGCGACCACTGATTAATAAAGGGACTGAAGCTGAAAAGGAAATGATTGAATGAATGTTTAGATGATTTATGCACAATACAATTTGGGTAATATTATGGAAAAAAGGTAATATTTTATACTTACCAATGAATCAGTAATATGTTCCATCTCTTAGTGGATGTATGAAAGACCTACTGTGGTTTTGTTTGCCAACCAATTGGTTCTGCATGGATTTGCATTGTAACCATTAAAAAAAAGTTAAGAATGTTTTTTTTTTTTTTATCTTAACTCCTATACTCCGCATGAATCCGCAGATTTAATTTTACCAAAATCTGCACCGAAATCTCAAAAAAGTTTACAGATATTAGCAGTTAACAGCTACAGTAGTTTACAGACCACTATATCAAGGTTTTTATGTTGGTTTTGTGTCTTATTTTAATTTACTGTATTACACTTGTATTGAAAATTTGATCCAAGTTACCCATAATGATGTTAAATTGTTTTGGAATGACCTAGTGATGAATAAATAATAAGGGCATTTTTGGGTGAACTATCCCTTTAAAAGTACCTTCAAAACGAACAGCTCCTGACCTAAGTCCAATAATAAATCAGGATTCCTCAAGCACCTCTTTCCAAAATTTGGCTGGCTATCAAACCAGATCGGGTGTGTTTTGTGAATCAAACGAGACACTATTTGCAATCATGTCTTCTCACAGCTAACTTTTCCCGGCTGTTTGTTCCTCTGTGGAGGGGCTTGATATAAATTCAGCACAGCTATTTCACCTCTCTTTGATTTTGACTCAAAACGATGGCTGTGTGTTTACAGAACGATGACGGTGGTCACTGCTGCTTGGTCAACAAGTGGAGCACCTTCCTGAAAGCCCGTCTCATCTGCTCAGTCCCAGGAGCTGACGGGATTGAAACGCACTTCGATGAGCTCAGTAAGTGTCTGTTTCCATCTCCAACAGATTAAAAAAGGCCTCATCTGGATTCTTAGAGTGCTTTTTTTGAAACTGGCTTATTTCTCCCGTAGCTCGGTTCTTTTATGCATACAGTTGAAGTCAGAAATATTAGCCCTCCTGATTTATTAGCCCCCCTGTATTATATATTCTTATTTCTACAAATTATGTTTAATGGAAAAAAATTTTCAACACATTTATAAACATAATACAGTTAATAACTTATTTCTAATAACCGATTTCTTTTATCTTTGCCATAATGACAGTATATAATATTTTACTTGATGTTTATAAGATACTAGTGTTTAGCTGAAAGCGAAATTTAAAAGCTTAACTGGGCTAATTAGGTAATTAGGCAAATCATTGTATAGCGATGTTTTTTTCAGTAGACAATCGATTAAAAAAATATTATTAGGAGGCTTATAATATTGATCTTAAATTTTTTTTTTAATTAAAAACTGCTTATATTCTAGCCGAAATGAAACAAATAAGACTTTTTCTAGAAGAAAAAATGTTATAGGAAATACTGTGAAAATTTCCTTTTTCTGTTAAATATAAGAAAAATTTACAGGAGGGCTGGAATTTTTTTTTGACTTGAACAAAACTATTGGCTCGAGATTACCTAATGCCTAGTTCAGACTGCGTGATTTTAGCCCCGATTTTGGCTCGCCGACAGGTTTTGAGAAATCGCTGACAAATGCCTGAAATCACAGGCAAATCGTGAGTGACAAACACACAGTATGAACGATCAAAGACGCGATCTGAGAGAATCGCCGATGAGTCGCCGATGCCTGTGAGATATTTGGCATGCTAAATATCTGGAGCTGTCGGCGATTTAAATCATCACGTGTGAATTGAGTTTTGACTGAAAATAACATCAGCGATCGCCTACAGCTAATGAGAGAGCGGCATTCACTTGTGTGTGCGTGTGTGTATACCTGCTGCAGGCCAGCGGAAGGCTGGGGGAGAAGTTAAAAGCGCTGATTTTCGATTTATTTGGACCCACGAAATGGAGGAAAAACAAGTGGAGGTTTGACAGGACTCAGAAGCAACCGTGTCTGTTTGACGTTTCATACAGAAAGAAATTAGTTTATTATCAACGTTGAGGAGAAATGGCTAATTCCCTTTAAACCCAGGTGAGCAAATATGTACATTTTCTACCCCATTAAAGGCTTCTTTCTCATTATGTAGTTAATAACAAAAGATATACTACGTGTTTTTGGCTGTGAGACGTAGTTTGGACAAACTTGTCGGCGATTCTTCCTATAGTAAAGTCATGCAATGTGAAAGTCCTTGTCACCGATCCATCTTGCAGTTTAAACAAAGCAGCGATGAAACGCTAGCCCAGATAGTCAAGCAGTGTGAAAACATCTGTGACACGACTACTTTGAAAATCATGCAGTCTGAACTCGGCATAAGTGAGGTTGTTTCAGCTCAGTTTCAACAAACTCTGAAGCTCTTCAGTTGTTGTGCAAAATTACTCAAACTAATGCACCAGGCTATATGACTGCATATGATGGTTATATAAGTGGGCAAAAACCTCTAAATGCCATCTGAAATTTTCTTCTAAAGTTACCATTTTTCCCTGGCTCTTGTGTGCATGTTCAGTAATTTTGTTTAACAAAACACAACAAAGCTAATGTAAACACAACGCTCATTTTAGAAGGAAATTTCAGGTGGCATTTAGAGATTTTTGCATCTGAACTCTTCAAATAGAGACAGATAATTGTACATTTGCTGTCTAACTGAAAAATTATCATTATCAAATAATAATAATCATCATTATTATTAATTTATTTAATTTTATTATTATTTGTATCATTATTACTATTTTTTTACTATTTTATTATTATTATTATTGTTATTACAAATTATTATTGTTATTGTTTATTATTATTTTACTATTATTATTATTAATATTATTAATTTTAGTCATAATTTTTATAATAATAATAATAATAATAATAATTATTATTATTATTATTATTATTATTATTAGTATTATTATTATTATTATTATTATTATTATTATTATTATTTAATCAAAGCCAAATATTCATCCATAATTCAAACTTAACTTATTAATGGCAGGCAAATGAGTGCTTTTTACCCGTTAAGAAAATTTTGCAAAATACCGTTTGGTATTTTTTCCCCATATTTTTGTCTTATTGTATTTTTTATTTATTTATTTTTTGTTGGAAAACAAGACAAAACATTCATCTGCTTTATCTGTTAATTCTTGCCATAAATAAATGTAGAAATTAATAATGAAAGTGTGAATGAAAGCAAAAGTTATCTCTTTGGTGCTGATGTCTGTGGGTGTCAACATTCTGTCAACAAACTGAAGTGCACCTTTTTGTTCATAATCCCTCAATTTAAATGCCTAAAATTGACTTTCTCATTGTCATAAATAAAATAATGACATTTGACAGCATCGAGTGCCGGAAAATAAACCGAGGAGATGTTTACAGAGGAGAGTTTACACTCATGTGGATAGTTGGGTCCATTTAGGGACTTTGATGTTTGAAAGCCAACTTCACCAAGAAAAAAGGAACATTATAACATTGTTTCAGAACAAAACAATCTATCTACAGGTGTGAGAGCACCCTTAAAGAAGTTTGCTTTGGCTGCAGGCCAGTTAGGGATCACTTTAGCAGTGTTTGAATGAGAAAGATCCTCTCCCGGTTAGTCAAGTTTCAGTGGCCCTGTCCAATGTCGCCCACACCCTACTACAAAAACCACATGCAAAATCCCTCCGTCCACCCACAACATCCTGGATCCCCTAATGTGGGCCTCCAGCTCTGCATTTACACCGGGCCAGGTGACGTACCTCACCCTCTCCCTGCCATATGGCACTGCATTCCCCCCTTTGGTCATACGCCGAGATGGATAATGGCTTATTCGAAGCCGTATTACAGAAATCCACACTGTTTCTCTGAACAAAAGGCTCTTTTGAAAAGGCTGAAGGTGTGGGAGATGTGCCATGAGCTGCGGAGGGAGACTTAAAGGGAGTTCGAATGACGTCCAGAGAGATGGACATGCCCTGTGGACGGATCAGGTGGAACACTAGGAATGCTGGGACCACTAAGGGTCTCGCTTTTGCACTTATAGTCTAATTGGGCCCAGTGATGGCCAGGTTATGATCATGCTGGAATTTATAGCTATTGCTTATATTAGAGCAGCAGATCTGGGCTCCCGACACTTATAAACATGTTTGGCTCTTTATTAGTGGGGAGGATGTTTACACAGGCTCATGGAGGTGTGTGTGTGTGTGTGTGTGTGTGTGTGTGTGTGTGTGTGTGTGTGTGTGTGTGTGTGTGTGTGTGTGTGTGTGTGTGTGTGTGTGTGTGTGCGTGCGTGCGTGCGTGCGTGCGTGCGTGCGTGCGTGCGTGCGTGCGTGCGTGCGTGCGTGCGTGCGTGCGTGCGTGCGTGCGTGCGTGCGTGCGTGCGTGCGTGCGTGCGTGCGTGCGTGCGTGCGTGCGTGCGTGCGTGCGTGCGTGCGTGCGTGTGTGTTTGTGTGTGTTTGTGTTTGTGTTTGTGTGTTGGAAGGATGTCCAGGTATTTTAATAGGGCAGTAAAGCTGTATTTTGTTGTGAGTTGTGTTGGTGTACTTATGAACAGGATAAAGCTTTACTTGGAGTACAGAGCAAGAGATGTGGTAAAATTTTATAAATTATATGTATAAAAGTTATATATATATATATAGGTTGAGTTTATTATGATTTTTTTCATACACTCACCAGCCGTTTTATTAGGTACACCTTAGTATTAAAGGGTTGGACCCCCATTTGCCTTCAGAACAGCCTTGATCCTTCATGGCAGAGATTCAACAAGGTACGGGAAATATTCCTCAGAGATTTTGCTCCATATTGACATGATAGCATCACACAGTTGCAACAGATTTGTCGCTGCACATCCATGATGCGAATCTCCCGTTCCACCACTTCCCAAAGGTGCTTTGTAGGATTGAGATCTGGTGACTGTGGAGGCCATTTGAGTACAGTAAACTCATTGTCATGTTCAAGAAACCAGTCTGAGATAATTCGTGCTTTGACATGGCACGTTATCCTGCTAGAAGTAGCCATCAGAAGGTCAGTAACAATACTCAGGTAGGCTGTGGCGTTGACACAAATGCTCAATTTTTATGAATGGGCCCAAAGTGTGTCCAGAAAATATCCCCCATGCCATTACACCACCATTACTAGCCTGAACCGTTGATACAAGACAGGATGGATCCATGCTTTCAAGTTATTGACGCCAAATTCTGACCCTACCATCCGAATGTCGCAACAGAAATCAAGACTGATCAGACCAAGCAACGTTTTTCCAATCTTCTATTGTCCGATTTTGGTGAGCCTGTGCTAATTGTAGCCTCAGTTTTCTGTTCTTAGCTGACAGAAGTGGCACCCGGTGTGGTCTTCTGCTGCTGTAGCCCATCTGCCTCAAGGTTGGACGTGTTATGTGTTCAGAGATGCTCTTCTGCATACCTTAGTTGTAACGAGGGGTTATATTGAGTAACCCTTGCCTTTCTATTAGCTGGAACCAGTCTGGCCATTCTCCTCTGACATCAACAAGGCATTTGCACCCACAGAACTGCTGCTCACTGGATATTTTTTCTTTTTCGGATCATTCTCTGTAAACCCTAGAGATGGTTGTGCATGAAAATCCCAGTAGATCAGCAGTTTCTGAAATACTCAGACCAGCCCGTCTGGCACCAACAACCACGCCACATTCAAAGTCACTTAAATCAAGTTTCTTCTCCATTCTGATGCTTGGTTTGATAGCAGATCATCTTGACACGTCTACATGCCTAAATGCATTAAGTTGCTGCCATGTGATTAGCTGATTACAAATTTGTGTTAACTAGGTGGTGGACAACTGTACCTAATAAAGTGGCCGAAGAGTATTTAGATATAATCAAAATTGCTTATTGTGAAACAGTATTGCAAAACCATTTTTAAAAATACAAAAAAACCAATTAAAATAATTATCCATTTTTTTGTAAATATATTTTTAAATGTAATTTATTTCTCCAATGCAAAGGTACATTTTCAGCATTAATAATCCAGTCTACAATGTCACATGATCCCAAAAATCTATTAAATTTCTGAATCCTTAAAATCTATTCAATTACTTTTTTTATTATTTTCACCAGAAAACAAATGTCCTTTTGCAAGCGTTGATGCATTTATTTTTTGTTTTTTGATTATGTACTATAAATTTTGTTTCATTGATCAATTAAAAGTTCAAAATAACTGTATGGATCGTTGCACATTAATCTATTATATAATAAGTCTTCATCATAATTGATTTTCTCTGACTCTTAAAGGTCACATTGCTCTAGAAATATAATATTAATCATAGTGTTTGCAATCCAGTCTGTAATTTATATTGCATATCATTGGAATTTGAAGTCTAGGGTTTCGTGTCTTTTATATTTGTTCTGAAACAACTGTTCTGTGTGCTTTTTCTGTTGTGTATTATTGAGTATGACACTGTAAGTCTTTATATTGATTCTATACAGCTGCCGTGCTCATGTGACTCTGCCTTTGCATTTAAAAGCTTTCGTGAATTTGAACAGTTGGAAGACATTAAGGATTTGGCAGATTCGTCCCAGATGGACAAATGTTTGTTAGAGAATGCTGTAAAGATGTGTCAGATTAAAAGTATGTGTGTTCATCATTGTTGAGGATCCTCAGATACACTCCATTAGCTGCATCTCTCCTGTTGTGAAAGAGGAATGGGGAAAATTTGCCTCGGGTTGCCAAAAGGCATTGATGTGAGAGAGAGGGAGAGAGAGAGGGAAAGAGAGATAGAGAGAGAGAAAGAGAGAGAGGGAAAGAGAGATAGAGAGAGAGATAGAGAGAGAGAAAGAGAGAGAGAGAAAGAGAGAGAGAGAGAGGGAGAGGGAGAGAGGGTGTTTAAGATGATATTAGTTGAAAACACAAGAAAAATATGTGATTGGAACAAGTTGCAAGCTGAATCCGAACCTGCATTTCTGAAATGAGCACCTCTGTTTGTGGGGGATAATGGTTATTGCTATATTACATCTAACATGGAATAGCTTGTAGGTTTATAACTCTGTGAATGAGTTATAAGTTAATAATTGATCAACTAAGGTGGCATGGTGGCTTAGTGGTTCGCACTATCACCTCACAACAAGAAGGTTGCTGGTTTGTGCCCCTGTGTGTGTGTGAGGCAATAGGAACCATATGCTTTGCTGTCCTCATCCATATTATCCTGTGAGTTTCCCTGAGGAGCAATTCAGTCATCCTTACACACACACACACACACACACACACGTACACACTTGCTCTTCTATACACACAAGCATATGCACACGCAAGTGTTTATGGATGCCAGCTCAGCAGATTTCAGAGGAGTTTTTACACAGTGTCTTTTCTTTATAAATGAGGTAAACAAGGCGATGATCCATACTTATTATTATTAGATATCCATATTAGATATCTTATATCTAATTTGGATTATTAGATTATTAGATATCCATAGATAGTGTGTTATAGTTAGTCAAAACGCTAAAATATTTCAAATAATTATGCTGTAAAACTTAAAGTACAATAGAATATCAGTATTAGATGAAAACCTACTCTGCTTACACAAAGCAGGCACACAACGTCATAATACGTGTCACGATCACCTGCAGTCTAACGCTCATAGATTGCTGAAGAATATTCACATTCACACGGATTACAATCCTGCCTCAATATGGACTACAAGTCCTGTCATGCACCACACACACACACCTGTTCCAAGCCTCATACGGCTCACTTTGAGACTCTCATTGCTCAGTCTTGTTTGGTTAACACCCTGTAACATTACAAAGCCTTCACTGGTATAGTTTCTACGCATTTTGACCTTTGCCTTGTTTTATTATTTACCCTGTTTTCTACCTGTACCGACCATCTGCCTGTTACCTGACAATACCTCCAAATACTGACATTTATTTGTCAGGTATGGCAACCAAAATCCAATGTCTAATAGACGACATAGTGGTAATGTCCACATAATGTCAAGCTGTAACATCATTAGACAATGATATTTGATTGTTTTTAGGTTGCGTCGGAAAATAAACAAAATACAGCATTTATCCGCCGTTGGATATTGACATCGGCCTGACGCTGGGGTCTGACGTCAACACGATTTCTATTTTTACCCAAAATGCAACATTTTACGACATTGGGGTAAATCCAGGGCTCAATTTGTGCCTGAACGCTCCAGATCCAGATCTGGCACCTCTGAAATCTGATCCGGCACCTCATTTTACCGATCCCCCTCCTCAACCACCCTCTTCCCCATCCGATGTTCACTTTCACTTTCTTTCGCGACTTCCCTCCGCCATCCGATATTTTGTTGTTATTTTTATGCACTACTGTCCTATTCCTACTAAAAAAAGCAACAATAATAATAAATGTAATAATAAAGCTACATAAGAATATTGAACAACTAATCAAAATAACAAAATCAAAACTTATGGTAAAATATAGGCAAACCCAACCCTGGACTAAAATTTTATTTTAATAATATATATATTTTTAAACCCAGCGGTTGGGTTTACCCATTTTTACTTCAAATTTGAGTTAAAACAACTTCAATTTAAAATGAACACCTAAATGGGGGGAAAAATAAAAGCTTAAAATTATACTAAATACTAAAATCAATAATAATGCTAAAACAAATCCCTTAGATAAAAAATTTATCTTGTTAAATGTATTATTTACTATTGTAGGAGGGCAAATTATCATGCATTTTGTTCATACGACAAAACCTGTCCTTTTTACCAAGAAGGTCTATACAGATTCCAAACACAGATACTGAAAAGATAAGGGGTTGGTTAATGTGTGTGGATTTCGGGGGGGGGGGGGGGGGGGGGTCACATGTTAATTGGTCAGTTTGTATGTCTTAGTACTTGGGCTTTGGTCACATGGTCAAGAAAGATAGAAAATAAGTGGTAATGCACAGCAAAAACTTGTTCTGGCTCTTTTCTTGCTCTACTTTTCCTGCTCTGCTCCTCTCCCACTCTGGAGTCTATCTTCTCTGTCCTTATACTGCTGTCAGGCTCTCCTTATTTCTTATAATTCTCCTTATTAATGTTGCAATTAATTTATTATTAATTTATTGCAATTTTACATCTTTCTTTATCTTCATGAAACATGAACTCACATTTGCTATATTAAATTGATGCTAAAAAAACAAAATTATGTCTCATCCTTGACTCATCTGTGTTTAATAATGGATATACTGTAATGCAATCAATTCTGATTGAAGAGATGCTAAAACGAGAACCAAATCTCATGTTTCTTCAGAGATGTTGAGTGAAATGCAGCGAGAAACTCTGAGTCACAGGAAGTTTGTTTCAACATTCAGTAAATGCGTTTGATTTATGCACTGCAAATATTAGCAGTGTTTCTCGTCCAGCTCCTTCACTCTGCAATGTTTGTGTCTTTTAGGAGATGTGTACATACAGCCCACGCAGGACACTAAAAACCCAGTCATCTACGGGGTCTTCTCTGTGTCCGGGTGAGTCTCAGCTTTTCCTCCATCTGGAAACTGTAACTAACTCTGGAAGGTGTTTGCATCTGCTTTTTTCTCTTTCCACCTCTAGCAGCACTTAGTTCCACATATGAACTTTCTAACAAAAACGCTCATATTTTCCCCTCCAGCTCTGTATTCAAGGGCTCGGCGGTCTGCGTCTACTCCATGGCGGACATTCGGATGGTGTTCAATGGACCTTTTGCCCACAAAGAAGGTCCCAATTACCAGTGGGTGGCCTACACTGGGAAAATCCCCTACCCCCGTCCGGGAACAGTAAGTTCTGCCTTATGTACCAGAATACTGATATTAAGACGGATTAGTGGCAAACTAGTGAGTAACATTAATCTAGACCTGCTGCTGAAGGTTAATAGTTCACCCCAAAAAATTAAACTGTCATCATTTCAGTTCAGATCAGTTTCTTTCATCTGTTGAACACAGAAGTAGATATTTTGAAGAATGTTAGACTTCCATGGTATATTTCATTTCCTATTACAGATGCCAATGGTAACCCGTTTCCAACATTCTTCAAAATATCTTCTTTTGTGTTGTCGATGAAAACAAATGAAGATATTTTGAAGAATGTTAGGAGCCATTAATTCCATAGTATATTTAATTCCTACCATGGATGTCAACGTTAACCAGTTTACAACATTCTTCAAAATATCATTTTTTGTGTTGTTGGTGAACACAAGAGAAGATATTTTGAAGAATGTTTGAAGCCATTAACCTCCAAATATTTAATTCTTACTACAAATGTCAATGGTAACCAGTTTCCAACATTCTTCAAAATATCTTCGTTTGTGTTGTTTGTGAATGCAAAAAAAAAGATACTTTAAAGAATGTTAGTAGCCATTGACTTCCACTGTAAGTTAATTCCTACTATGGATGTCAGTAGTAACCACTTTTCAACATTCTTCAAAATATATTCTTTTGTGCTGTTGGTGATGTTGGTACTTTTTATCTGTCCCTTTAATAGTCAAACTTTAAACAAGCTGAAGCACCGATTGAAACTGTTAATCATTTAGTATAAAGTTAATCTTCAGCATTTCAATACAATGGATTTTTTTTTTTTTTTTTTTTTTTTTTTTTTTTTTTTACAATGGGTTTGTTTGCTTGTTTGTTTTTCAGTGTCCTGGTGGGACTTTCACCCCGAACATGAAGTCCACTAAGGACTACCCAGACGAGGTCATCAACTTCATGCGGAATCATCCCACCATGTATAACTCCGTGTATCCAGTGCACAAGCGCCCCCTGGTGGTCAGGACTAACGTGGACTATGAGTTCACAACCATCACTGTGGATCAGGTCACAGCGGCCGACGGAAACTATGAGGTGCTCTTCCTGGGAACAGGTGAGTTTCATGATTTTTTTTTCATGCATGTACATTAACTATAAATACAATACAGACTAATATACACAATCAAATATTTTCAAGTTATTCATATTACAGCGCAGGGAGCTTTCACTTGTTTTTTGTTTCTCACATTTTTTGTTTTATTTTATTTTCATATTTATTTAATTTAGTTATAAAATATTTGTTATTTTACAATTTTGATCTGTCAGAGTTACTGTGCTAATTAACATAATTTAACATAATTTATTTAACAAACTAATCGATGACCTCATTTCATTATTAATGCAGACATGATTTTAAAGGTTTTAAAATTATTATTATTATTATTATTATTATTGTTGTTGTTGTTGTTGTGGTTGTTTTTATTCAAAATATTATTATTATTATTTGTTTTTGATTTTGAAAAAAATTATTTTATCTTAGTTTAGAAAATTTAACACCCTAACCTATGACATTTTCAGAATTATGCAGAGATTATTTTTAAATCTTAAAATGACAAGACATTATTATTATTATTATTATTATTATTTTAAAGTAATTATTTAGCTTAGTTTAGAAAATCTAACACCCTAATAATTATATTTTCATAATTATGCAGAGATGATTTTAAAATATTAAAATGACAAGAGACTATTATTATTGTTATTATTATTATTATTTTGAAGAAATTATTTTAGCTTAGTTTAGAAAATGTAACACCCTAACCTAACCTATGACATATTTCATAATTATTTCAGACTTGATTTTTATGATCTTAAAATGACAAGAAACAACAACAACAACAACAACAACAACAACAATATTATTATTATTATTATTATTATTATTATTATTATTATTATTATTAATATTATTTATGTTTTTAATTTTGGAATAATTGTTTTAGCTTAGTTCAGAAAATTGAACACCCTAACTTGTGACCTATTTTAATAATTAATGCAGACATGATTTTAGGGGCTTAAAATTATATGAAATTAATATTATTAATATTATTGTTTTTATTAATTATTTATTATTTTTGTATATCTTTTTTGTCATCTTATATTTTAAGATTCTAACTCTGTAAAAGTCATATATATTAGTTTCTCCCTCCCCACTGATCCTCTGAGACTCTTCTGAAACTGCAGCAGGATGAATGAACTCTCTCAACATTCATCAGAGAAGCTGAAAAGCATCTGACTCCACTTAGATGGATGTCAAACATCCCAAAAAGGCTTTTGTGTTTCTATCGCTCTGTTTTTGATATAAAATCTGTGAATGCAGCACCTTAAGGCCAGACGGTCACTGTCTGAAGATCCATCATCCTACACTAAACGATCTTTACAGTCTTGTAACCTGACTGACATCATTCTGTGGGTGCTGTAGCTTTTTCCTTTTATGTTGCTTTTGTGCATCTGAAAGTCTAATGGGTTTTTAAATCAACTCTTCTTGCCCCATTGCTTCTACAAGCACTTACAGGAACATTTAAAGCTTGGGTCAGATGTATTGCTCCGCTTGCATTAAATCTCCAGCGGCGTGTACAGAGGAATGCAATGGGCTCGCTTAAATCAAACAAGAGTTTTGGGTAGGGCAAAAAAAATGTCTGAAATACCAGCAGAGACGGAGCTGAAAGATGTGTCTGCCGTCAAACACAGAGAAAACAAAAGAGGGATTTTAAAAGGAAATGATGCTCAATGCAGAAGGTGAAGGTCTGCATGGTACAGTAGATGTGATGGAAAGGAAGAGTAACTCAAGGGTTTCAGGAGTCAGTGAAAGATAATCATCGAGACGTTTTGTAAGATGTAAACACAAAAGGCTTGATATATATGAAACAGACTGTAAGATGACATAATACTTAAAATATTTTAGGGTCAAGGATGACCATTCTTTGTCGTAACTTGGAACTGCAGTTGAAAAGAACCTTATTTTATTTTATAGTTGATTTTATTTTATAGTTTATTTCATTTTTATTTTATTGAATTTTTTATTTTATTTTATAATTTATTTTATTTTTATTTTATTGTATTTTTTATTGTATTAATTAAAATAAAATTATAAAAATCTATTGTATTTTTTGTTATTTTATAGTGTATTTTATTTTATTTTTATTGTATTTAATTTTGTATTTATTTAATTTTTATTTATTTTTTATTTATGTTATTTTATAATTTTTTTCATTTTTTATTTTATTGTATTTTTTATTTTATTTGTATTTATTATAATTTTTATTTTTTTATAATTTACTTTATTTTGTTTTTATTGTTTTTTTTTGTATTTTATTATATTATTTTATGATTTATTTAAAAAATATATATATATTTTTTTATTTTATTTTATTTTATTTTCGCAAAGTGTGCAAAGCATGGACAAAAATGTAAACAACCGGAATGTATAAACAGTAATGACAATCAATTGGGTAGGCTAAATTGTCCGTAGTGTATGAATGTGTGTGTGGATGTTTCCCAGAGATGGGTTGTGGCTGGAAGGGCATCTGCTACGTAAAAAAACTTGCTGGATAAGTTGGCGATTCATTCCGCTGTGGCGACCCCGGATTAATAAAGGGACTAAGCCGACAAGAAAATGAATAATAATAATAATAATGACGTTAATATTAAGAAAATATTGTAAGATAAAACACTTACCTAACACATGACATACCACACCTATCCTGTCTTCTGTGTCAGTGACATGGAAAGAGTCTGTTTCATAAATGTTGGTTGTGTTTTTGAATGTTATGACTGACAGAGTGACTTTGATATATAGACAGAGGAACAGTGCAGAAGGTGATCGTCCTACCCAGTGATGACCTGCAGACAGAGGAGCTTGTGCTGGAGGAAGTGGAGGTCTTTAAGGTGAGATTTGCACCCTTGTTTTTTTTTCTGAATTCTTAATATTGCATCGCTCTTGGGGTAACTCTCCCTTTAACAGCAGTCTCATAGCTACTAATGTCTTGTCTTGCATCTTTCATTAATGCAATTTACTTGATTAATTGATATCTATATTTTATTCTCACCAGTTGTTTGATCAAAATACGGCGTAAGAATAAAAATAATCAGTTTGATTTATATTTTTTAATTTTTTTAATTTTTTTGTTTCATTTTGATATTCAATTATAGATACATAATGTTTACCACGATAGCACAAATCAAAGTTCCAAAGGGTTAATAAATGGTTCATACAGTATAATAGTGAAAGAAAACTAAGCAAAAACTAGGTTCTCTTACTATTACTCATGGTGCAGAGTTTGAATTGGTGTCCCAGTACAAATATCTTGGAATTTTAATTGATTATACACTTGCTTTTAGTTCTCACATTCAGAAATTGGTGAAAATTTTTAAGTGATTTAAGTTTATATTTAAGAATTGACAACTGCCTTTCTTTTGATGCTAAAAAGAAGCTGGTTGATCCAACATTTAGGTTGATATGGGACTAAGGTGATGTTATCAATATGCATGCCTTGTCTCAGAGTCTGCATGCATTGTATACTGTTTACCATAGTGCACTACTATTTATAACTCATTTTAAATCTCTTATCATTGTGTGTTGTATACTAGGCTAGGTTGGTCTGCTTTGTCCATTCGTAGGCTCAAGCATTGGGTTATCTTTGTTTACAAATCTGTACTGGGTCTACTCCAATTATTATTATTATTTGTAAAAAAAAAAAACCTGTCCTTAGCAATGGCTTTCAGTTACAAGATATGCATTTACTGTCTGTTGCTAAAGTGCGGACTGAGATGGGGAAAAAATGGCTTTAAATACGCAGCAACTTTTGCATGGAGTTGCAGTTTAAAGAATTGATTTCACTACATGCTTTTAAAAAGAATGTAAATGATTTAGAAATCGAAACACAGGCTAGTAGATGTTTTGAATAGTTTGCTTGATGGTGTGATTCATGTTAACTGTAAATTGTTTTTTGTTTGTTGTCTGTTATACCCATGTGACGTGTTCTGCCTAATCTTGGTTAGGACATTCTTGTAAAAGAGATTTTTAATCTTAAAGTGTCTTTTCTGATAAAATAAAGTTTATAATAATAATAATAATATTGATATTTTGTACAGCTTCTGGGGGAAACAATGCTTTAAGTGACAATATTTTAATGTTAATATTTAATACTTATTATTAATGTTAAACATTTTATGAAATTTGGAAGAAATGTTAGTAGATCTTTATAAAATCAGACAACAACTAATATTAACATTTTAACTCAAATCACACGTAATGAATCCAGGGAAACTGATAATTCAAGTGGTCTATATTTTATATATCTCTATGTATTAATTTTCATAAAGTTTATATTTTATTTTCAGGTCCCTACTTCTATCACAACAATGAAGATTTCTTCAAAACGGGTAAGAATTTGCTGTCTAGATTACTCGCTATTGTTAATGTCTTTTAATATGAGTAAAACTGTCAAGAGAAAAACAATAAACCAATTTAAAGGGACCTTTTGTGACATGTCTCCAGGGTAACCATTTATTGTTGTGGTCTGTTTGTTGAATTTAAGTTACATTGCATCTACATGCCAACTAATTCTCATTAGATTTTAAGATTTTAGACTGTTAGGGTTAGTGTGTTGACGTTCTTGCAAAATTTCTTATAATCAGTTAAATTTTTCTAAGAAGTAGTATCAACAGATATTAAGCAGACAGTCTACTAATACTCAAGTTGACCATTAAAATAAAGTGTTACCATCTCTGATGTTCCTAGAGAGTTAAGTTTCAGATCAAAATACTTAACAAATAATGTTTTATAACTCTTTGAAACGACTCCTTTTAGGCTTTAATTCTTATTGTCATTTAGGCGACTGTCACTTTAAATTCAAATGAAATTGTGCTCCCAGCCCTCTTTTGAAAAGAGGGTGGAGCTAAAAATGCCTATGCATCAACAGAGCAGCAGATTCAAAAAGGCTGTTTCTCACTCAGGGCTGTTAATGCTAATGAAGGAGGGATCACTAATGGCCAGAGCTTTCCCCCTCGGATGACGCATGCAACGGGAGAATGTCAATCAAAGTGTTTCTGCAGACTTTTTATGAAGTGTGATTATAAAAATATTTAATTAATACATTTATACCATAAGAGGCTGGCTATGTTTACAGTTTGTTGCCACACAACTGTGTGTAAACGCCTTATAAAAGTAATATTTGCATAATGGGTCCCCTTTAAACTAGACCCGCAGCTGCTATCTGTCTAAGACTGAGCCCTGGCAGCTTTTATACGGGTTTACCAATTTCACAGATGCGTGGAGTTAAAATGTTAAACTTCATTTGTGTTTTATTCTTTCATCATAATCGGGATTGTTGGCAGATGTGGTATGACATCAGCGCTAGGCCGTAATTTAAACCCTGTTTCTGCCAGAATAACTGATTTGAAGCAGCTGATCCTAAAAGCAGAAATGTCAAGTGTCTAAACGCTTGAAGAAAAACACTCCATTATCAGGACAGGCTTAAATTTGCAGTTCAGAACCTGCACAGACCTGCCTGCTCCTGCAGCTCAGAGACAGTAAGGTTGCTGTCTTTCCAATAGGTTTTTACAGTAGACAATTTATCATTTTGGCTTTTATGATCAAACGTATGGAAGCATATCAGTTGCAATATTCCTTTTGAAATGTAAATTGGCAATGTGATATGTAAAATGGCAATGTATTCTGCATTTAAATGAGCATTTTTAAGACATGCATGCAAAGTTGTGCAAAATGAAAAACTTTTCATGTCATTAAAGTGGTAAGGAGATCAAAATTTACTTTATTTTTATACTGCACTTCATTCATTCATTCATTTTCCTTTTGGCTTAGTCTCTTTATTTATCAGCGGTCGCTACAGCGGAATAAACCACCATTTTATCCAGCATATGTTTTACACAGAAGATGCCCTTCCAGCTGCAACCAAGCACTGGAAAACACCCATAAACTCTCGCATTCACACACATACACTAAGGTCAATTTAGCTATTCAATTCATCTTTTCAATTCATCAACAGTAGGCATGTCTTTGAACTAGAGCCCTCGGAGGAAACCCACACGAACATGGGGAGAACATGCAAACTCCACTCAGAAACACCAGCTGATCCAGTTTTTGTTGTGAGGCTAACATATTATAACCTTCCATTCCCCTTGAAATGTCATTTTCTTTTCACTCTTGTGACATGGAATTCCTTTAGGGCGGGGTTATCTTGTCCTGTAGGGGGCGGGGCTATCAGGGTGTGTCTTGTTTCTGCTCTGCCTTCATCAATCTTTTTTTTAATTTTGTTAGCAACACCCATGTTCAAGTTTATGTACATCATTAAATTAATTTAAATTATTAAAAAATGTAATTATTATTTTTTCATGCATTCATATAGTTATTATTATTACAAATACATACATATTATATTTATATCCCTATATTCATTCCTTTTATTCATTTTCCTTCGGCTTAGTACCTTTACTCATTAGAGGTTGCTACAGCGGAATTGAACAGTGGAGTGGCTAACCACTGAGCCACAGCGTCGTCTCTCTCTCTCTCTCTCTCTCTCTCTCTCTCTCTCTCTCTCTCTCTATATATATATATATATATATATATATATATATATAATTAATCACAATACAATTTACACTGAAACAACATTAAATAAAACTACAATACCATACAAAAACAAATTGTATATAACACGTACAATACATGATGCCAAGTTCACAATTTATATTTATAGATAAATATATAAGAACAAAGAAATAATATACTACATGAACCAATCTGACAAAACATAAGAAATATATAAAATATTACATGATATATAAAGTTGCAAATTTAAAGTATATCATCTAATTTTAATTTTCCATTAAACTTTACATACATGGGCAACACGGTGGCCTCACAGCAAGAAGGACAATGGTTGGAAAGTCCCAGCTGGGCCAGTTGGCATTTCTGTATAAAGGTTGCATGTTCTCCCCGTGTTGCCATGGGTTTCCTCCAGGTGCTCCAGTTTCCCTGACAGTCCAAAGACATGCGCTATAGGTAAATTAAATAAACTAAATTGTCCGTAGTGTGTTTGTGTGAATGAGTGTGTATGGATGTTTCCCAGTACTGGGGTGCAGCTGGAAGGGCATCCACTGTGTAAAACATATGCTGGAATAGTTGGTGGTTCATTCAGCTGTGGAACCCCTGATAAATTAAGGTACTAAGCTGAAGTAAATCAAAATGAATGAATTTGCCTACATGTCTTGGAAAATACAAACTTAAATACAGAAAGGTACTGCAGTTTACTGCCATATTACATTTAAAAATGAATTTTGCTACTGAAACGGTACGCTTCCATACAGATGATGCTTCAGAATGCAAAGTAATGTTTAAATAACTTTTTAAATTCTTTTTGCAGCAACAACTGTATGTGGCCTCTGCGGTGGGAGTGACGCATATGGCTCTGCACCGCTGTGATGTCTACGGCGAGGCCTGTGCTGACTGCTGTTTGGCCCGGGACCCCTATTGTGCATGGGACGGCAAATCCTGCTCTAGATACTCAGCCTCGCAGAAGAGGTAAATATGCTAAAGCATGCAAATAATGTTCTTAACAAAGATCAGATTCCTGGCATGAGGATTCAGAAGAAAAATTAGCCTCATTTCCTAATTTCTAAGAACGTTGAGCTTTGTAACTGAAATTCATTTGTTTGCATACAATTAGATGCATTAATCATTTGGGAAGTCACTGTTTTAATTCACTCTAAATTGTTTGATTTGTTTGAATGTCATTTAACGATTCAGATTTTGGGATTTTCCCAAATGTTGCAAAAGAAGTTGAAATCCCTGAAGTTGAAATCCCTGTTGATGAGTGAAACACTGCTTTGTGAAAATTTCCAACTTTCACAACCAGTTTTTACCCAATCATGAATTAATTTTAGAACTGTGTTTGTTACACATTTATATAATAAAAAGTGGTAGTTTAATAATCTCCTACAATCATGCTCTCTATAAAACAACCAAACTAAACTTAAAGCATATAATGAAAAATGCTTCATATTTAATCCTCTGGCCGTCTTTGTTTAGGGGTCAGTACTATGCAGTCAGCCTTGAAATGTTATTCTTTTTTTATTTATATAATATTTTTTGTTTATTATTTAGATTTTGGATTAGATTGTCAAATTTTATACACTTTCATATTTAAAATATGCATAAGTACCACTTGCAGACTATTTTTGTCTGCAAATAGGCAAGTGTTTTTTTTTTTTAACACATCCACATCATCGCCAATCATGATTTTGATGACAAAAGTAGCCAGGTTTCTTTCTGTTCCAAAAAATCGAATGATTATTTCAGTTTTTGTTGCATTTACACAGTTTTTTTAGTGCTACAACAAACCGAATTATTTAGTGAAGTTGACTATTCATCACTATTCTTAACTTCAGTTGTACAAATTGAGTAGGTACAGAGAGTTATTAAGATAATAATTAAATAACCAACCAGATTTATTGGAATAACCAAGTTTTGTAATCAGATGAGGTATCTACTAAAATTTTCCCCTATGTGATATGCTTTCATGCTCTGACAATTACAGATGGAAATAATCTCTTATTTTGTCTGATTAGCTTTCGTGTAGATGCAGCCATTGATATTTTAAATATACAACAATATTCAGATTGAATTCTTAAATATATTAATTAGTTTTGCATAAAAAATCTACAAAGCTAATATCTGAAATCCGTCAGAACAGCAGAAACTGCTGCAACAGAATCTCTAGCCTAATATGACAGTGAAGGCAAAACAGGTGATTTTCCTCACATTTTAAGATCATAAGGATGAACAGCATGAAATGCCATCAGTCTACAGAGATTTTCCAGTATTACTATGTTGCAGTCGGGAGATCACAATAATTATCCCTGAAAAAGCCAAAGCAAACACTAGCAGATCACTGTGGGATAAATACAGCACTACAACAGACAAAAGAGAGAGATTGACTTAGAATGTCCCTTACCTGTTCTATAAGGATTTATTCAGCTGTAGTTTCAATTTTAAGCTGAGTTTTTCTCCCTAAGGACTTATTATGCCGTCTCTGTCACCATCTTGTGGCAGAACGTCAACCGTTAATTTCTTTGCTCTGCTCAGTATGACAAGCTCATAGCCAACAACTTGCTGAATCTCTGAAATTCTGAAATCTCTGAAATAATATTAAATTAGGCACTGTCCTTATAAATAAACTGCAATTATTGCAATTTAACTACATTCTTGCCTAAAAAGCCTTAAAGTACATTATGTTGTCCAACAGCTGCATTATTTGTCGTGAGTTTATTCCTTTGCTTCTCATGTGGGTGGAGTAATACACAAGAGTGAAGAGGCTGTACGAGTGCTGTTATTGCAGAATATCGCACTGCTATCAGCCTATCTGATTCAAAACTGTTTATATATATATATATATATATATATATATATATACACACACAGTTGAAGTCAGAATTATAAGCCCCACTGAATTATTAGCGCCCCTGTTTATTTTTTTTCCCCAATTTCTGTTTAATGAAGGGAAGATTGTTTCGGCACATTTCTAAGCATAATAGTTTTGAAAACCTATTTCTGATAACTGATTTATTTTATATTTGCCATGATGACAGTAAATAATATTTTACTAGATATTTTTCAAGACACTTCTATACAGCTTAAAGTGACATTAAAAGGCTTAACTAGGTTAACAAGGTGAACTAGGCGGGTTAGGGTAATTATTCAAATTATTCTATAATGATGGTTTGTTCTGTAGACTATCGAAAAAAAATTGGCTTAAAGGGGCTAATAATTTTGTCCCAAAAATAGTTTTAAAAAAAATTCAAAGCTGCTTTTATTCTAGCCAAAATAAAACAAATAAGACTTTTTCTAGAAGAAAAAAATATTATCAGACATACTGTGAAAATTTCCTTGCTCTGTTAAACATCATTTGGGAAATATTTAAAAAAGAAAAAAAATCAAAAGGGGGCTAATAATTCTGACTTCAACTGTATAATTGTCTAATAAGATGTGTTTTTTACTACATTTGTAATATGCTTTGATGCTCGGATGTTTACAGATGGAAATAAATCTCTTATTTTGTCTTATTGGCTTCCTTTTAGACGCAGCCGTCGACAAGACGTGAAATACGGGAACCCCATACGCCAGTGCAGAGGATACAATTCCAACAGTAAGCTATTAGTCTAACGTCTCTTAATATTTGTAAATACACTGCTTTAGTGCATATAAGCTCAATAAATAGACTTAGTCCTGTCTGTTTTGTTTGTAAATACGCCTGTCGAATAAACATTTTTACGCACAACTAAATCACTTCTAGTTAATGCTGCTTTGACACATTTATCAACATCATCAGCTCATACGTTCAGTTTTAGGCACTTTCATTAATTCGTGAGATTTGTTGATGTGGATAAAGCGTGTGTGTGAATTTCAGTCATGTTTTATTGAATGAGCTGTTAACAGAAAAGTGTGTTTACATGAGCTCAGTCTGCTGGTTCTGTTGTAATGGTTTAATGTGGAGGATTGAGGAGTGACGTGTTTGTTGTTGTTGTTCAGTTAATAAGAACACACTGGAGACAGTGCAGTATGGGGTGGAGGGCAGCAGCACCTTTCTGGAGTGCCAGGCCAGATCACCACACGCTGCCATCAAGTGGCACCTTCACAGAGACAACAGCGACCGGAGGAGAGAAGTGAGTACAGTATACACACACACACACACATACTGTACATGTACAGGCATGAATAAATACAGCAGATGCAAAGAATGTGAGTCAGTGACCTTATTGGAAAGAGACAGTTTTTTTGATCATAGATTAATCTGTTCGAAATATCGCTAAACACAGAATTTGCCCATGCAGAAATTTTAAGATTTTTTTAGCCCATCAGGTCTATTTATTTCATGCACAGTTGATGTCAGCATTATAAGCCCCCTGAGTTATTAGTTCCCCTGTTTATTTTGTCCTCAATTTCTGTTGACTATATTGAAAACAAAATTAGTTTAAAGGGGCTAATAACTTTGACCTTAAAATGTTTTTTTTTTTAACTGCTTTTATTCTAGCTGAAATAAAACAAATAAGACTTTCACCAGAAGAAAAATATTATCAGACACACTGTGCAAATTTCCTCGCTCTATTAAACATCATTTGGGAAATATTTTAAAAAAGAAAAAAAATTCAAAGGGGTGGGGGGACTAATAATTCTGACTTCAACTGTATGTAAATGTAAGAATATATTTATTCAGTTTTTATATTAATGTCAGTAATAATATTGACTAATATGCAAAAGTTTATATGATTTATTTACATTAAAGTTTGTAAAGTAATATTTTCTGTCCTTTAATAAATATACTATATATAAAATATAATATACTATATTTTAAAATATATAAAAGTTAAAAAGTAGTTTATTTTTTAGTAAATTAAACTACCTATTTATCTTTTTTTTTTTTTTTTTTTTTTTTTTTTACAAAATTCTGCACAGAAAATACAAAAAAGTAGTTTTTGTCAGACCCTGCCACTATAATTTCTGCTGCAAAATAATTTCTTTTTTATATTTTATAATGGGCATTTATATGAATAAATTTGAATGAAATTATATATACTTGTTATATATTTGTAACATTTAAACATTCAGTTTTATCAATTTTCTGTCAATTAAATATGTTAATGAAGTATACATTTTTAGTGTGTGTAATTGCATTACAACTGTTTTTAGATTGTACCTACTTGTATCTGATAAAATATATTTTGCCAAAATTGTACTAGTCTTTATATAAATATTTTAAATGGTAGCTCGGTGGTTTGCACTGTCGCCGGCTGGGACATGATCAGTGTGAATGTGAAAGTGCATGGGTGTTTCCGAGTTCTGGGTTGCAGCTTGAAGGGCATGCGCTGTGTAAAACATGCTGTAATAGTTGGCGGTTCATTTCGCTGTGGCGACCCCTGATAAATAAGGGACTAAGCCGAAGGAAAATGAATGAATGAGAATTAAATTATTTTACATATAACATTAATCTAAAATGTTTAAGTTGAGCTATATATGTAAATATTACATGTTAAGTTTTAAATTATATTCAGATTGAATTGTAAATGATAATTTTTTAACATAAAAACATAAAACACAAAAATCACATTTACATATGTGTGTGTAATTATGTACATTAAGTGTATATAAAACTGTATTTACAGTTTAACAATGTGTATCTAATAAAATATATTTTGTCAAAATTGTACTAGTCTTTATACAATATTATACATTTATTTTACATAAAATGATATAACATGTTATTTTAAAAACATTTCAATTTAACTATTTATGTAAACTACATTTTAAACATATTAGTAATAAGATTTAATAGTAAATTATATACTTTTACATAAAAACCTAAAAAAATTAAACATATTAAACTGTAAAATAATATATTATATCATATTTCTGCCATAACAAGCAAATATTGATAATTAGCATGAATTTTACATAAGACATTTATCTAATATATTTCAATTGAGCTATATAGTATATGTGAATATTACATTTTAAATATAAAATTATATTCAGATTGAATTGTAAATTATATTATTTTTACGTAACAATAATAAAAAAAAAATTGATCGCGCCAGTAGCCTTGTGGCTAAGTGCGCCGTCCGTCGCATAGCAACTTGGTATTCACGGCGACCTGAGTTCGATTCCTGGCTTAATGTCCTATGCCAATTTTTCCCCTCTCTCTGCTCCCAATGCTTTCTTGTCTGTCTCATCTCAATAAATTGCGAAAAACCCTGAAAAAAAACAAAATTATATTCAATGTAAAACAGGACAAAATTAAATTGTAAAATACTATAAATGTGTGTGTGTGTGTGTGTGTGTGTGTGTGTGTGTGTGTGTGTGTGTGTGTGTGTGTGTGTGTGTGTGTGTGTGTGTGTGTGTGTGTGTGTGTGTGTGTGTGTGTGTGTGTGCGCTATAACAAGCAATTAGCCTGAATAGGAAACAGTGGCAATAATACTTGTGAAAGTAATTGCTCCTGTGTGTGTTTGTGCAGGTCCGCAGTGATGGCCGTGTGCTGAAGACGGATCAAGGTTTGCTTCTGCGCTCTCTCCAGTCCTCAGACTCCGGCATCTACATCTGCACGGCCACAGAGAAGAACTTCAAGCACACGCTGGTCAAACTGCAGCTGCTCGTCCTGACCAATCAGGCCGTCAACAACATTCTGGTGGACACGGGACGTCCGGTCGTCTCTCCGCTCCAGTCCAGCGCCTGGACCCCCAGTGCCGGGCAATACAAAGACCTGCTGACCATCCTCAGCCAGCCCGAGATGGGCCTCATAAACCAGTACTGCCAGGACTATTGGCAGTATGGAGACCCTCTGACCGGGGTCATCAAGGCCAAAGACCTCAAAGAGCTCAAGGAGCAGAAGAAACCACGAAATCGCAGACATCACGGGGACGAGGAGGAGACATGAGAGAAAAATAAAACACAAATTAAACGAGAAAAACTTCCATCAAGTGAACTTCAGAAGGGAAGACATGTCCTTTTAACACATAAAGATGATATCATACACAGTATTTATTGTAGGTTGTATATAGTACCATTCTGTGGATTTCTTTGTACTTAAATAGAAAAATGAATGCTCTTTTGTGTATAAGTACCTAATGGGCGAATATTATTGTAATATTATTTTTCAATTTCCATCTTCCGGGCATTTGACGACTCGTGTATATCGACATGAACTCACAGACTATTGAACTACTCTGAGAATGGAAAGAGCGGACGGGGAGAAATCTTCCCTCTTGGACTCTTCATGCGGAAAATAGGCGGGGCATGCGGCGGTGACATCATAATGCTCTTCACCACTAGTCCCACCCCCTAAGTGCATTCTGGTCCCTCATTGGTTACAATGAAACACCAGCTCATATTGTCTTCCTAATGTCCGTCTACATGCACACAAAACATCGGTTCTCATTGCACAAATGTTTCAAGTAATCATGGCACAACTTTTATTTGTGACTGGACAAGTTTTGACTAATGTACAACAGCCGCTGAGGGCTCTTAGTATGCTTTTATTGTTTTTTTATGCCACTTTTGAAAAGACTACAAGAACAAACCAACTTGCATCATGATGATGATGTCTTGAATCCACATAGAGGAAAGAATGTCCAGATCATATTTCAAGATTTCATTCATTTGAACCGTTTTGATATACAGTAAGCAGATGTTAATGCTTTATTTTACGGTATTATTGACCTTTTTGAGGCATGTAAACAAAAACAATGGTCCCAACGTATTTCCTGTTTTACATTTTTATTTTTTATAGCTTCCGAGAATCCAAAAAGAGCCACATATTGATAAATAATGTTGTGATAGCTGTTTTAACATTAGGTTATGATTGAATTGCCTTTTGTTACAGATATGAAATAGTTTAATAACAAGCAGGAAATGTTCATGGGCCAATGACATCACCACGTTAAAATGGTCTGTACTATGTTTTAGATATTTTGCCCCATATTTTATAGGATTGTATTACATTAAAATCAGTATAATTATTAAGTTTGAATTACCATAAACCCAAGTAAATACTAATATTTTAATTACTTCAAAATATTAGTATTCTTAAATTCTTCACAATGTTCATTTAACCAAGAATGGGATTTTATAGACAGTTAAGCCATTATTGATATAATTTTCATAAGCATATCCCCGCTATTTTACTGTTACAATACATTTAGTAAAGTTTTTTTATTTGCATGAAGAACAAATACTAACAATATTTATATATTTTTTTCCAAATGGATTTACAAATCTTATCATGGTAGTCATAATTAGGTTTAAAGATAATTACTATTAAAATTACAGTCAAAAAGGCTTCCTTTGTAATATATATGAGCAATATCACATGAGAAATGCCATCAGATTTCCCTTTCGCAATCGGAAGATTACTATATTTGAAGCTGCGGTCACACCAGAGTGTGAATCTGCGAAAAGAGACAGGATTAAACAAGATGATTAGACATTTAAAAAGCGAGCCATTGCTCCATGTTTTAAATTTCTGTCCAGAGATGTCATGTTTTGATCCTCGATTGGTCTCACGCAGTAAAGTGATGTAATTTCGCAGGTCAGAGAGCAACGAAGCAACCTGCGAAACTTGACGCATGACCCTGCGTTTCCGGTGTGACGCATTCGCGGTTTTAAGACTTTGAGTCCCATCTTACACTCAACAAACTACAATTACTATTGTATAAATACAGCACTACAACAAACCATACAATTTTATAATGATTTGATCAGCTGTAGTTTAAAATTATGCTGGGTTTTTTCTCTCCTGTAAGGGCCTATTATGCAGTCTCTGTCGCCATCTTGTGGATGGGCAATGTCAACCGTCTTTGGTCTGTTCAATGACAGGCTAATGGTCTCTCAGAAGTTATAAATATTTAAAAATAGGCACTAACCTTATAAATAAACTACATAGTTGCAATCTAAACAACTACATTCTCGACTAAAAATGCTTCAAAAGTACATTATGTTCTCCAACAGCAGCAATAACTGTAGAGTGTCCTCTGCTTGTTGCTGTATGTGGGAGGAGTACTACACAAGGGTGTAAAGGTAAAGAGCCTGGACAAGTGCTGTTACTTGCAGGTTATTGTGTGGCTATCAGATTCAAGAATCAGACAGAACTGTTGTATAGATACTTTTGCTTCATTCATTCATTTTCCTTCAGCTAAGTTTCTTATTTATCAGGGGTTGCCACAGCGGAATGAACCGCCAACTATTCAGGCATATCATTTACACAGCGGATGCCCTTCCAGCCGCAACCCAGTTCTGGGAATACTTTAACTTTTGGGATGAAATATGATCTGGACAGCTTTTATGAAATTCAGTCAACGATGGCACATAAGTTAAATACAACTTTAGATAAACTGGTGAAGGCTACAATATAATATGAGACGGATCCACATTCATCTTCGAAACGTGTTCACACTGTATAGAGCATTTTATCACGGTTTTAAACTACTCAAGGTCTGGGGAAGCTGGCTTTTCATTGTGTGCATGATTTATGTAGTGGTATCGTAATTACGAAATTAAAGATAGCTACGTTGCAGTTCTGTTCCTATATCTTATGAAAAGGTCAGTGTTGGGCAGTGTTTTTTCCTCCGAGTGGCTTATTCAGGCAAAATGAGGACAACTATTCACCTTAAAGTGATGATGACGAACTGTTTTGTTCGACGGTTGATGCTATTTGAACAGTTTTCCCTGCACAACACACAAGCGGCCCCAAAACCAGTGTCTTGCATCGAGAGGAAATGGTTGTACAATTTCTTGGTATTTTTAAGATGAGTCTTTAGAAATGTTTGTGTTTTTATTTTGTCATCAGTTTGAGACTAAATGCACAGGTGATGTTACTGTGATAATTGTGTAAATGATTTTCCTTTTCCCCTCTTGCTGTTGCTAACTAATAAATTAAAGCTCTATATTTTATAGTAATCCAACTGTTTATCTTTATTTACCTGATGATTCTTTGATCGATTTCAGATTTGTGATAATGTTACATATTGTTTTCTGGAGAAGTAATGATGCATTTGCTGGAGTGAGAGGCAGAAAATGCTAATATAGATTTTACCTGGTGGTGCTATTTCCCAAGAAATGAGATTTTACAAGCTACGTATATGAATAGTTCATCCAAAAATTACCATTTTTTTATTTAGTACCTCTCACATTTCAGATACGCAAGACTTTCAATAAACACATAAGGTAGAACAATAACCACTTTAAAAGTACTAATTTATACTAAACAGGCTGCTGATGTGTTTTTTAACCGTACAACGGTACATGAATTATCTGTTGTGGGTCTGTATATACTAAGTAATTTCATTTCATTTTCTTGTTGGCTTAGTCCCTTTATTAATTCGGGGTCGCCACAGCGGAATGAACCGCCAACTTATTCAGCAAGCTTTTTTACGCAGCGGATGCCCTTCCAGCCGCAATACTAAGTAATATAAACCAATATTAGTGTACTAAGTTTCTACAGCTATACATGGCACTGTACATTAGGCCTATACTATTGTTACCCGCTTGTTAAGTGGTGACGTGTTGATGACATGTAATACTGTTTCCGGGTCCAAGTCACCACTCATTTGAGTTGAGAAATCATTCGTTTATGATAACATTTTATTCATATCACACATTAAAGTTAACTTTTTATAAAGTCATAATGTAACTTACACAACAATCTCTGGGCTTGCTGCATCATAAATACCAAAATTTTAACAATTTATAATAAAATGAATTACTTTCTGGCCATTGGATATTAGGCATGGACATATATATTGCGATCGTGATTTTCGCAAGTATTAAATCTCTTTGTAAACGTTTATAATTACCATTTCACGGGTCTCCCCATTCAGTTGAATAGAGCGCTTGGACCCGAAAGCCGCTTTCTCCTCATACACAAAGTTGTTATAGGCGAATACTGTAATATATACAGAATAATATAGGCTAGTATTTAATTAGTTTTGTTGTAATTATTATAATTTTTTTTATATAAAAAAAACCAATACTGTGCCGAATCGAACATAGACTGTAAAAGGGTGATCCCATCTAGTAGTTTACGCGACACATCGATGAAACGTACAATTATCATCTTGTACAAACTTAAATAAATCTACAAAATAGATTAAAGTAAATATAAAATAAAGGCTAATGGATTACATGTTATAACCAACCAAAGTTAATGAAATAGAAAACCGGTTAAAAGTAAGCTTTGTTCTATTCTGTGCTCCCCTGTGAAGTAATTTGAGTTGGTATCGACCGACTAAATAAATTCGCACCGCGCGCTCTTGTTCCGTTTGTCAGTCAAGAACTGCTGAGAGTGAATGACAGATCTCCTCCAGTCCAACACACGTTTCAACGCAACACAAGTAGGTGTAAAATACTTCGAATTTAACAAAACGACTGCTAAAGTTGATATATAAAGCGCTAAGGGTATCAAACAAAACCAGTGTGATTAAAAAAAAAACTAAAACTAAAGTTGGTCGATAAAGAAAGAATTGGCTAAAATGATAAACGTTAAACTCGCAGTGACTGGATGTCATCGAAGTAAAGTTGGTTTAATATTTGCACATTCGTGCATTTTAAAGCTCACTATATAGTTTACCACGCCAATTTGAATATTCAGTCTGAAATGGCATGAAATTTACTTAAAACAACATTAGCACAATTTAACTGACTGAACGATGTTGAACTTTGATGGTCACTGGCTGATGATTTGATTTCCCTATTTAGCGTTGGCAAATAATTCTTTTCTGATGTTATATTATTAAGGAGAAAGTCTAATTGTGCGAATATAAAAGCAACTTTACCTCAAATTTATCCAATCCTATCAATTGACTTCCAATTTTCGGATGTACAACAAACAAGTTTAAAAACTTCTATTTTAAGTAAAATTTTGCTTGCCTGCTTGCTTGTGTTGCACTTGATTTAGAAGGATGTGGACATTATGGACATTGTTCTAAACACAATGTTTTGGGGTTTTTTTGAAGGCCCCTTACATCTAATCAAATCTATATCAGTGAATAACTATAAAAAGTGTAAAAGTCTGTCTGTACTGTATTTTTCGAGTAATGCTAATATTGCTACCAGTCACAGTAAGACTTATTTTTTTTTTTTTTTTAGGAATAATAACACTATTTTTTACATTTTAATTGTAAGAGATTTGAGGACAAAAAAAAAAAAAAAAAAGAGTTCCTAAAATGTTAATGTTATTAAAAACCTTTGTTTAACTAATATTGACTAAAACTCCAAAAGTGTATATGAACAAACAAACAAAAATAAATAAATAAATAAATAAATAAAGCAGAATTTGGGGTGGGGGGAATTATATTTATACACTATATATTTTATTAGAGCTGCATGATATTGGAAAAGTCTGACATTGTGATATTTTATTTTGTTGCGACTTATATTGCAATATGAATCCAATTTTGGCAGATGACTTGAATAAAAAGTTAGTCAGATATTCAGGTTCAGTAATACAACACGATATCCTGATATCTTGCCCCTAATAATGATAGATCACAATATCAGAGATATATCACAAGAAAACCATCCACAATATATCACATATGTAAAAGAAGAGGGAAAAATGCATCAAAAAGCAGAAGTCAGGACATGTTTATTGCTTTAAACTATTATAAATCTTTCAAAAAAATAAATATATTGTTTTCAAAAGGGGGAAAAGTTTTAGTTTTTTACCCAGTCATTTAAAAAGAATATATTTTAGAGCACCATCAACAAAACTGCGAAACTGTGATATTTTTATTTAAGGTTATCATATTGTCAGAATCTTATACTGGCCCATGCCGATATCCCAACAATGGCTAATGCAACAAAAATTAGAGGGTTCATAATTTACAATGTAAAATATTGTTTATTAGCAAAAACAAATTACACATATATAGTTTTGTATTTTTTAAGTTACAGTAGCTGCATAAATGGGCAACACATAGGCTATTTGTTTACTCGCAGCGCGGTAACACATGCAATTATAGATGTAGCCTATTTTGCTAAAGAAGCAAAGGCGGATAAATAGAATTCCAAACAGACTGCCTATTTTGTCAATAATTCGATCATCTTTGAATAATAACTCAAGGTTAGTTCACTTTTGTCACTGCTTCCTCTCATTATTATTTTTTATTTTTTTTGTCTTGTCGAGTTTGTTAGCAAAATGCTGTAGGAAATGGTCTTTTGACTTCATGCTGATTGGTTGTGTATTGCTGCTGTGTGATTGGCTCTTAGATCAATATCAAGTAAAAATGTCCAGAGCTGATCATCGATATTGAAATAAATTTTATCGCAATTCAATATGATATAATTTCCCAGCCCTACCTGCTCTTATTGAATAATTAAATGTAATGTAAAGTGCAAACAAACTACCGACATGGCGGACACACGAGACTTACTGGCAAGAGGCTTTAGTAAAGATGTTTGAAATACTATTATTAATATCTAGCCAACTGGAAAAATATTGAAATCCTGTTTTCCATCATATTTTACCAGAAACAGCAATGTGAACTTTTATAAATGACGTATGTAGATTTTACCTTCTGAGTTAATAATTTTGCAAAGACCTGTGGAGATTTCTCTGCATGAAAGACTTGCGATTGCCAGATTATCCTGCTGCTGCATTTCCAATATGGTGGGTAATTAAATATGAAAGAAATGTGGATGATGTATCTAGATGATTGACAGGGGACGTAAATAAGCAACATAACGGTCCGTTAATGATGAAGTAGCATCTCCCAAAATTACTCTTCTGTTACACACTCAAAAGTATATACTTTTTATTCACAAAAAAATTACATCTTTTAGAACGTAATATGCGAATTGGGACGCAACACTAGATTTTATACTGTTTTTATATATAATTTAAAAATGTATACATTTGGAGAACTGATTGCAGGCTAGAATTCATCTAATCTGTTTATCTTTTGACATCATGTCTGTCGTATTGTTGTATTTGTCTCAGTTTCTGAATATCATTCCAAACGATGACATACAGCACTTTTCCCTGATACTATACACTACTGTTCCCTGGGTATTGCAGGCATCACATTCAGACAATAAGAAAGGCATCATCACTAGCCTCTTTTGTGTAGTTTGTGCCCCTCAGCAACAGTCAGAGCTGTGTCTCAGTCTTATCTGATCAGTGAGTGGCAGCGGTGGGCACAGTGGCATCAGCAGCTCTACATGCGATGATGGATGATTATCAGACTGAATAGCTGAATATCTGCTCACAAACCCACATGCTTATCTTCTCCACCCATCTGAAGCGCTGCCATCCTTTCAGCATGCCATCATGGGCTGTCATTATTATGGAAAGGCCTCTATTCATGCTATTGTTCACTGTTTCAAAACCTCCGACATGAAAGCTTTGGTTACTTTTTAATCAGCTCAGTTTTTAGCAGGTGCTGTTTTGGAAGTGTAGCACTTTGGGTAAGAAATGAAACCTGATGGGTCTTTATCAGGGTGTGAAATCAGGGAGGAGGAAGGCAATTACTGGTATTGCTATAATAAGTGAGTGTCTTTTGCCTGGATGTGAACAGGACATGATGTTTTGTGGTCTGGACGTGACATTAGTAGGCCAGCGCAGACTCTGATGTCATTGTAAACAGCTTTGGAAGTGGTTTAGATGCAGACGATAAACGTGGATTCATCCTCATTCTTTTATATAAAGTCATTTGAGGTTTAAGTGATGCACTGGACTGACAATAAAATGTTGTCATTTCTTATCGGAAGCATGTGGGCTCATTGTGTGGCTGGTATTCTCTCATTCACTGTGATGATGAGATTTCTTTGTGTATTAAGTGATGTGAACCAGCAGAGGGCAAACTTTGCTAAGCATTTCTGTATGATTCTCTTCATTGGGGGAATCCTCTAGTAAAGCAGTTTCTTGTGCATCTTTGTTTTTTTTTTTTTTTTTTTAAATA